TTCATAACTGTAATTTTGCTACTGTTATGAATTGTAATGTAAGTCTTTGTTTCTGATGGTCTTAGACAACCCCATGAAAGTTATCCACGGGTTGAGAACTGCTCTTCTTGACCCTGTTTTAGACTTGAGCCTGCAGCACTGTTTTGCTAGATTATGATTGTTGGTGTTAAAATTATTATCTTACTGGACTGATTTGTTTTCTAAAAACTTATCTTTTAATTCTTTCGTCTTTTATTTCTGGAACTTCCCTTTGGAAAGTAAACCTTAGAAAATAGAGCCATTTGCCTTAGTGGCAGATGAATGAAGAGATCCTTTATTTGGTGTTCAAGTTGAAGACTTGTGTTTCTCTAACCCTTTTTTACAATGAACATCATTTCTGAGATAAAACTAGTATTTTATATTGCCTCTTAAACTGTGTTGTTGCTGGGAATTGCTTCTTGGGCCTTGCACACACCGTGAGAATCCTCTATCACTGAGGTACACCCTCAGCCCGGAAGTAACTGTTCTGAACGCCAGTAACACTGAGAACAGTGTTTCTTATATTGATGGTATTTGGGGTATGAGTAAATGATTAACTATATTATACAGAATGTTTTAACGCTCTTAAAGTTTTTTTTTTTTTAAAGTTAGTGTATGTGTATGTGTCTTTCGTCTGTATGTATGTCTGTGCATCATGTGTGTGCCTGGTACTCACAGAGACCAGAAAAAGGCATTAGATCCTTGGGACTAGAGTTACAGATGATTTTTAACTGCAATGTAGGTGCTTGGAATTAAACCGAGGTCTTCTGGAAGAGTAGCCAGTGCTCTCTAACCACTTAGCCATTTCTCCAACTCTGAAGTATGCATGTTTTTGTTGTTGTTGTTGTTGTTTTAAGTTGAAACCTTGGTTTGTCTTGAATTGTTCCTTATTAATAAGAGGGCAGATTGGTGTGTAGTCTAGAGTGTAGCTCTTTTGGGAGGTACTTGTGTAGACAGTTATAATAGCAGGAGAGAGTCAGTACCCATAATAGAACAAGGCAGAGCTGTCAGAAGTATCTGAAAGTAAGAAAATGATACCTGCTTGAGTGGAGATTGGGAGCTGTACAGTGCTTAGTGGAATTTGATTGCTTTGAACAGTGAGCAGAGTTTTGAAGGTTGTATTTTGAAGCATTAGAAAGAACTGAGGAAGATGAAGACAGTAAATGACTTTATTTACTGTCAATTGTTAAATGATCAGTCCAGGTATTGTATAAATGTATTTTCATGGGGAGAGAGAGAATAAAAGGAACTAAGACTGGAAAGACAGATTGAGCTAAATTGTGGAAGGGTTTGAATGTAGGAAATAAAATTAGAGGGACTGGAAAGTCCTTTAGGAGAGTTGTTCCAAAATATAAGATAAGAATTTGAAGATTGGGGCCCAGAAACCAGAAGTTATTTCATTGCTGGCTCTATGAGGAATTACTTCAGATACCTTCACATCTTTTCTAGAAGTTTTCCCCAGCAAGCTCCCTTTCCCTGCCTGGTTAACATTTGCATGGCCATGTGCTCTTGTGGTATAACCATATTGTTTCAACTGTCTTCTTTCTTTAGTGTCTAAGAGGCCAGGGGCATGGCTTAGCAGGTAAAGGTGTTGTTGTCAAGCCTGACAACCTGAGTTCTAGTCCTGTGACTCAGGTGGTAGAAGGAGAGAACTAACTTCTACACATTGTCATTCGACCTTCACAAGACGTACACACACACGCACACGCACACACACACACACCATGCACATAAAATAAAAAAATCTTATGAGACTCAATTTGTATCTCTTTTTTAATCATAAGCTGAAAATTACTCTGGTCTGAATGCTGGTTAGCTACAGCAGCATATCTTTGGTAAATGGTTTGCAGTATGACTGCTGACATCTTACCTTAGTTGAAATCAGCTGATTCATCTTTTCAGGTCTTGCTGCTACTGCTTTATTTAAAGTTCATCACATTGTAGCTGACTTTTGAACTGGTTACCTTTGATTTTGAGATTATTTACCAACTTGATGGGCAGTTATTTATTGTAATATTTTCATCCCAAGCCCTGCCCACATGCCAAGGCATTGAGTGGAGGTGAGAGGACCACTTGTGGGAGTTGTTTCTATTCTTACCATATGGATCAGGGATTGAACTCAGGTCATCAGGCTTGGTGGCAAGAACCTTTACCTGCTTTCTCAGTGTCCCTAAATGGTAGTCTCCATAATTAGATTACAAGTGTCTTGGAGTCTGAAAAGATTTAACTATGGGGAAACAGGTAGTGTAGTAGGTGGCTTTTAATTTTTTTAATAACTATATATGTATCTGTCTGTGTCTCTGTATGTCTGTATCTATGTGTCTATGTATCTATGTATCTGTCTATGTATCTATCTGTGTCTCTTATATGTCAGTGTATCTATGTGTCTGTATCTGTCTGTGTAACTATCTATGTATCTCTCTCTCTCTCTCTCTCTCTCTCTGGTTTCTCTGTGATAGTCCTGGATGTCCTGGATTCACTTTTCAGACCAGGTTGGCCTTGAACTCACAGGGATCTGCCTGCCTCTGCTTTCCGGAGTGCTAGGATTAGAGGCACGCACCACTGCCCCTAGCAAAAGGAGAAGCTTCTTTTTTTTTGTTTTTGTTTTTTGAGACAGGGTTTCTCACTGTAGCCTTGGCTGTCCTGGAACTTGCTCTGTAGACCAGACTGGCCAGGAACTCACGGAGAGCCACCTGCTTCTGCCTCCCAGGTGCTGGGATTAAAGGTTTGTGCCACCACTACCATCTGGCCGTGACTTTTATTTTTAAATCCTAGAAATAAAAACAAAAAGAAATAAATCCTAGAAAAGGCCATTTGGTTATGGCACATAGATTAAGGAGATGTTGTCTTTTTTAGCTGCTTTATTGCAAGCTGCTGCTTCTAAGTAAGCCTCGGGGTTATTTGGGCATCCAGTCCCTGTGACTTGCATAGCTTTCCCTTTTTGATTTTAAGCTGTTGAGTAAAGTTGTACTACACATATAAGTATTTTGGATATTTTAATATGGTTTTAATACTGCCCTTGTTCAGGAGTGAGTCTTTACAAGGTGATTTGGGTTGAATTTTTCATAAAGTTTGTTTTTTTTTTTCTTCTAAAACACTTTAAACTTAGTTTCTAGATATTTTTTAATTTTACTGTTATGATACTGCTATTGTTACCTACTGGGTTAATACTAGTGTATTGGAAAACATTGTTTCCCATTAGTCGCTTGGCTGAATTCGTCTTTTGTGAAAGTAGGTATTTGTTATTTTGGATTTTCTAATTTCCAGATGACTCCATATTCCAGGGTGTTTTCACAGTGTTTGGACGGGAACTCCCCAGCCCCCACATCATCTTTCCTTTGAGAAGTGTTAGCTGGGAGAAGAAAATTTACAGAAGAGGGCACAGTGAAAATCAGGATGAACCATAAGATAGACAGAAAGATGAAGGTGGGAGGGACCTTGATGGTTGATGCCTTTTCCTAATTTTTGCCTAAGGCTTATTACATTGGATTTTAGGGAAGTAAATGTTGTAGATGAGGTAATTAAAATAACTCATAAAGCCTGTGTACACTGAGATGTGTCATTTAAAAAAATATGTGAAACTTTAACTGTTGATATTACTAAAACATGACATTGTTTAAAGACAGTTCATTTCTGTGACCCAAGTTAGCATGTGGCATGTTTCATTTTGTTACACAGAGAAGCCCTGTCTCGACCAAAATGAAAAAAGAAAAAAAGAAATTGCTAGCAAATGTGTTTTCTCTGAGACAGGGTCTTAATTATGTATCCTTGGCTGGTCCAGAGACTCACTCTGTAGACCCGGCTGACCACAAACTCACAGAGATACTCCTGCCTCTGCCTCCTAAGTGCTGGAACTAAATGACTGTAATATATACCAGTCTGTCAGAAGCAGCTTTCTTATAGAAAATGACAGCTGTTTGGAGATTTGATAAGATTGTCCTTTCTTTGAACTAGTTCTGCAGTGACTGTTGTGCCTTCTGCTAGGTAGTAAGGTTAATGTGTGGGTTTCCTTGCTCTTACAGCCAGTTATTCATGTTTGCTCTGAGTGACTAGGAAGAGGGAGGTGAGTTCTCTCTATATAAGTTGCTGCTTGACAGTGTTAGTGTTAGGACTTGTGAGAAGAAGCCTTTGTACAAATGTTTTGTTATGATAAGTGGTTTGGTTTCCAGCCTGTACTATGAAAAGGTAATTATATTTCAGTTTTTAATTAGCATTTGTGTCATATATTTAGAAATAGGCATTAATGTTAAAGAATTGACAACACATTTACCTTGGATCACAACTCTTTTTTTAAAACATATTTATTTATTTACCTATCCATTTATCCACCTATTTATTCATTCACTTATTCATTCATTCATTCATTCATTCATTCATTCATTCATTCATTTACTCACTCACTCACCCATTTATTCATTCATTCATTTATTTATTCATTCATTCATTTATTTATTTATTTATCTATTTATTTATTTATTTTTATTCTTTTCTTCTTTTTTTTGTTATACTGTTTTTTTTTTTTTTTTTACAAACCCTTGTGTCGAGGGCTGACTTTCAATAGATCGCAGCGAGGGAGCTGCTCTGTTACATACAAAACCCCAACCCAGAAGCAGGTCGCCTACGAATGGTTTAGCGCCAGGTTCCATTATTTATTTATTATGTATACAGTGTTCTATCTGCACATACACTTGCACGCCAGAAGACACTGGATCTTATTATAGATGGTTGTGAGCCACCATGTGGTTGCTGGGAATTGAACTCAGGACCTCTGGAAGAGCAGGCAGTACTCTTAACCTCTGAGCCATCTCTCCAGCCGGATCGCAACTCTTTTTAAGCCACAGAGTGCAACTGTTTAGTTTCATTAGCTGAAAAGCAGTGGCTGAAAAGCTAGGGAAGATTAAATCTCTGCAGCATAAAAAAAAACAATGTAGAAAGAATTTTCTGATCCTTTAAATATTTACTTTTGTTGTTTTGACTTGTAGAGCCGATCATCAGATGTTCATTCATCTGGATCTTCAGATGCGCATGTAAGTATAAAAGATAGCCTTTTTTTTTCTTTAAAAATTTTTGTATATGTATGAGTTACATGGTAAATGAATACAATTATGTGTGTGAACATTTAATTGTGTCTTCCTTTGTGTTTTGTTTACACAAACTCCCTCAAATTGCATTAGAAACTTGATGTATATTTTTTTAAATTTTTATTGTGCTTATACAATTCTGTACACATAAATGACCCCTTTCTTGCTGCACATTGTACCTGCCTTTTGAAATCCCTGAAAGACAGCTGGCAAAGAGAATGCTGATCAATTCTTTCTCAAGGTATAATGTTCCACCATAGAAAGGTAGATTTGTTAGTTTTCTTCATGGGTATATGACTTTTTTGTTTAAAGGGTTTTTTTGTTTGTTTGTTTGTTTTTGGCATTTTGAATACTGAAATAAATTTTCCCCATGTTATAGCAATATTCAAAGTATGGTGTGCAGATTCATACTGCAAGTTGTTGAAAGGATTTTAGGAGTATGTGGACACAGAATTATTTTGTAACAGGGGCTTTGGGAGATGGCTCAGTAGGTAAAGTGCTTGTCACACAGTACTTGTGTGAAAACTGAGCATGGTAGTGCATGTTTTATTTCATGTTTGTTCTGGGAAGACAGAGATAGGTGGGTGGATCCTTGGAGCACTCTGGCCAGCCAGTATCTGTGAACTGTAGAGTTCAAGGTTCAGTGAGAGGCCTTGCCTCAAAAATAAGGTGGCAAGTGACTAAGGAAGATACTCAACACCAACCTCTGGTCTCCAACCTCATGTACAACAAACGAGTATGTGTGTGCTCCTCTTGGTCATGTAGGCCATAACACCCTTTTGTAAAAATGCCAAGGCATTATTGCCTTTTTCATTATGTTGACATTTTCCCCAATAGTACAGAAGCAACTGGTAGGCAAACTATTGGCATAGGAGCATGAATCAAAGACGTAACTCTAAAGTATATTGTTGTATTCATTCCCATCATGTACTAGTAAAATTGGCTAGTTTAAGAATGTTTCAGTGTGAGCCTTGTTGGGGGCCATACCTGTATCCCCAGAATTTGGGAGGATAATGCAGGAAGAACATGGGATCATGAAGTTGAAGCTGACTCAACTATTATAACAGACAGACCTTGACTCAAAAAAAAAAGGGTATTATTTTTAATGTTGTAAAATTCTTAAGATCCTACTCGTGTATGGGTCTTTCATTTTCCTATCCTATGTGATGAAACAAGTACATATAAAGTCAGCTGTTAACTAGAGTATGATGTTTGTAGTAAGGACTACTGACTTGAAGATGTATCTCTCTTTTATGAACTACCCTTCTTATTTGAAGGAATGCCTAACATATCTGTTATCTGACTTAGGTATTTGACAGATATTTTCTTGAAAGTGAAGAAAAAAGCCTGTTACTTCAAGAGTAACAAATGTTTCCAGTGTGATATTTGAACTTTCAAGGGCAAGTCAGGTTTTGAAAATTTCTTAAGGAATCTACTTATGAACTTGGTATTGTTAATAATGTGTTTTTAGATAACAGTGAAATTTGTTAGCATGTGGACACTTTGGATTAATTCTAGTTTTTAGTACTGTGAATGTCATTTTTGAAATCATTTTTAAAACTTTATCTGAAGATGGATGCATCTGGACCCTCAGATAGTGATATGCCAAGTCGAACACGACCTAAAAGCCCAAGAAAACACAATTATAGGAATGAAAGTGCCCGTGAAAGCCTTTGTGATTCTCCTCATCAGAATCTCTCAAGAGTGAGTATTGTTAAAGATGACAAAGGACAGCTAATGGTTTTACTCTGTCCTTGATTGAATATGGTGGTTTTGTACTTGTTTTTTTTTTTTTTTTTTCTTTCTGAGACAGGGTCTAACTGTGTAGCTCTGGCTTTCCTGAAACTTAGGTCTATAGACTAGGCTGGCCTTGAACTCATAGAGCCATGGCTTCCTCTGCCTCCCAAGCGCTGGGACTAAAAGTGTGCATCACCACAGCCCGGCCTTGTTTCATTTTATACTGTTTGAACTTAATATTATTATTATTTTTTTAAAGATTTATTTATTATTTATACATCATTCTGCCTGTACACCAGATCTTACTGTAGATGGTTATGGGCCACCATGTGGTTGCTGGGAATTGAACTCAGGACCTTTAGAAGAGCAGCAAGTGTTCTTAACCTCTGAGCCACCTCTCCAGCCCCTTAATATTCTTTATTAACGATAAACTCCCCATTTATTTAAAAAAAAAGTGTAGCTCATATTAGCTGTTTCAGTGAAGGTGTTTAATTTTACTTGGAAAATGAACATTTTGATTATTTATTGAGTTACTAGAAATATTCAGGCAATTAAGATAGTTGTTGAGTTAAGTGGAATTGCTCAGTAGATGTGCTCGCTGTGCAAGCCTAGAAACAGGTTAGAGTCTTAGAGCCTATGTAGAGATGGGTGGAAGAAGTTAAGAGTTGTCTTCTGACCTCCACATACATGCCTTGGCATGCACACCCACCTACCCACAACATGCATATACACACACACACAATATATAAGAAAGGATGCAGTCCTAGTGCTCTGAGAGCTTATGCACTCTCTGAAAACACAGGAATAGATGTTAGTCACTTGGCTAAGTGGAGTCCTGGGACTATCAGGAACACAGACGTGTTCTCTGTGTTTATGTGTATGTGTGGTAGGCACGTGTGTGCAGGTGCAAGTAGAGGCCAGAGGTCAACATTGGGCATCTGTCAGTCCACCTTGTTTATTGTGAACCTGGGTTCCTCACTGAATCTAGAGCCCCTTTTCTCTTCTGCCAGTCTGCTAGCCATCCAGTGTCAGACCCACGGTCCTGGGGTTACAGACACACCCACCACCACTGGCTTTCTGCATAGGTGCTGGGGGTCCATACTCAGGTCTTCATTGATGTACACAGTTCACCGACTGAGCTAATTCCCCAGCCCTGGAAAAATGGGTTCTTTCCACAGAGCATCCCTGGTCTTCTAGTTCTTAAAAATCTACTTAGAGAAAGTTTTCTTGAGGTAGGTATATAGGTCAGTGTACTTGTCTAGCGTGTGTGATGCCCTAGCTTCAAATCCTAGCAGTATTTTAAAGTGTACAACTTAAATAACTTTTCTTGTGAAAAAGTTTGGAAAATATTAAGTCATCAGCCATACTTTTTTGTTTGTTTGTTTGTTTTTTTTAAAGACAAAACATTTTTTTTTTTTCCTCTTCAGACAGGGGTTCTTTTTGTAGCCTTGGCTGTCCTGGACTCTTGTAGACCAGGCTGGCCTTGAACTCCCACCTGCCACTGCTTCCCAAGTGCTGGGATTAAAGGTGTATACCACCACTGCCTGTCTAGGAATATATCTTAAAATAGCTTCTTTTTTTTTTTTTCTTGTATTTTTATTTCAGCAAACAACTAATTTTTACATCAAGTAAATATATTGCTCCTTTGAGTAATTTTCTTTGCCATTTCTATCTGTTAGGATATAAACAAAATTGAGCATGCAATTTATTTTTTCTTTTCTTTCACCTCCTTTTTTCTTTATTCCTTCTACTTTTTCTTCCCTTCTTGGGTTTGAGACAGATTTTCTCTGTAGTCTTGGTTGTCCTGGAACTTGCTCTGTAGACCAGGCTGGCCTTGAACTCAAATCTACCTGCTTCTGCCTCCCAACCACCAGGATCAAAGGTGTACGCCATCATGCTTGGCTACAAATTTTGTTTCTTAAAATTGTATTTTTTCTTGAATTTCTATGTAATTTTTATTTGTTTATACTTTTGAAGGTAACTCCAGTGAAACTGAAAAGCGGCAAGACATTTTTAAATTATTTTTGGAGGAAAAGATGATCTTGTTTGAAAATTTGACTTTTTGGACTGGAGAAATGACTCAGTGGTTAAGAGCACTTGCTACTTTTGCCCAGGACCAGGTTTAGTTCCTGGTCCCCCACAGGTGATTTACAAACATCTTTAACTCCAGTTTCAGGGGATTTGACAACTTTCCTCTGATTTCATTGTACCAGGCACACATGTGGTGCACATGCTTATATGCAGGCAAAACACTCCAAACCTTGAGAGAGAGAGAGAGAGAGAGAGAGAGAGAGAGAGAGAGACTGACTTGTGTTACTAACTGCTTATCTTTCACAGAGGGCTTAAAAATAGGTGGCCTCAAAGTTTCTCTACTACACTTCCAAAGTCTAATTTAGTAGTTTGTTACATTCTGCCTGCATGTACACCTGCACACCGGAAGAGGGCACAGATCTCATTATAGATGGTTGTGAGCCACCATTTGGTTTCTGGGAATTGAACTCAGGACCTTTAGAAGAATGGCCAATGTTCTTTACCTCTGAGCTGTCTCTCAAGTCCAACTTCTCATTTTAGTAAGGAAGGAAAAAACTTCACATTTCAGTTAGGTTGTAGTTAGTTAACAATCCTACCTTTTAAGTTTTTGAATCAAGTGAATAAATGAAACAACTATTTAGATCAGATCTCAGGAGGAAACTGCTTCTAAATTGTACAAGTGAAGGCTTCATTGAAATATTGTATGGACCTGCTAGGTGGTTCAAGTTGTAAGGGCATTTACCACCAAACCTCACCCACCCCAGTTTGCACTATGGGACGTACGTGGTGGATAAAGAGAGCTAACTCTTAAGTTGTTCTTTGGCCTTCAGACATTTGGCACATGTGCTCTGTCCTTTATATGCATGCACACAAAAATAAACAAAAATGTACTAAATTCTTTTAAAACAAATGAGAATCTCATTTGTGTATATGCGTTTTGATGAAATCGGCCCTCCATTCTTCCCCTTCCATTTCCACTCACATCCCCCTTCCCACTTTTTCTTAATTTTTAAAATTTTAATTAAAAATACATCATTATTTACCCCTTCTCGTTCCTCTTATTCCTTTTGTGGCCCCACTTCTTCCCTGGCTTCAAATTCATACCCTCTTTTTTTCTTTGATTATTATATTTGGTTATATATACCATAAATATATATATTTCCATTTATATCTACATAAATACAACCTGCTGAGTTGGTTTCAGTGTTGCTTGTGTATATATAGTTTCAGGGCTGACCTCTTGCTATTGTATAACCAGTTGTGGGCTTCATCCCTGGGGAAGACGAATTCTCTTTCTCAGAGGTCTGTAGTTGCCTGTCTCTGTCTAGAGGTAGGCCACTGGAGATTTCCTTCTTTCACTTTAGAATGTCTGTTGGTGGTGTTATTTCGGGTTATGTTTAGGCAGCCAAATTGTTAAGGTTTCATGGGTATGGATTTCCCTGTCATTTCTAGGAGAGAATCTCACAGCAGACTTCCTGTCTCTGTCCTCCAGTTCTGTTTTAGATGTATCCCTTGGGCTAGAGCACTCTCACTCAGTTATTCCCTGTATTTCGGACAGTTGTAGTTTTCTGTGATGGCCTCACTGCTGCAAAGAAAAGCTTCTTTGAGTGGTGAGAGCTATATTTATCAGGCTCCCAACCCTCGTTCCACACCTGGAGCTAGGTCTGTGGGTGTGGAGATGGCAGTGGGCAAGAGACAGGATGGAAGTCTATAGTCTTTTTTTTTTTTTTAATTTTGTTTATTTATTTATTTCATGTATGTGTACTCTATCTGCATGCGTATCTGAATGCCAGAAGAGGGCATCAGATTCCAGTGTAGACGGTTGTGAGCCACCATGTGGTTGCTGGGAATTGAACTCAGGACCTCAAGAAGAGCAGGCAGTGCTCTGATCCGCTGAGCCATCATTCCAGCCCCAGTCTATTGTCTTTAAACCCACTGTGTCTACTTAGGGCTGCCAGATAGAGTTTTCCTATATAAGTTGAGTATCATTTATCTGAACTGCTTGGCATTGAGAAGTGTTTTGGCTTTTGGCTTTTATTATTATTATTAGAATTTTGACTTGGAATATTTTCATACACCTGAGGTTAATTGGGCATGAGACCTAAGACTAAACATAAAATTCATCTTTGTCTTATATATGTCTTACACATACATCCCAAAGGTAATTTGTTACACAGTATTTTTGGACCTGGATTTTGACTGAAACCTGTTCCTTGAGATTAGATATTGGACGTCCCGCTTGTGGTATTGAGTGTTCCAGATTTTAGATTTTTAGATTAAGGATACTCATTTGTGTGTTAAAAAATATTGATAAAGTTTTATATATGCTGAAACCTGAAATACACAGTAGATGGTACATTCTTAGCAGAGAAAATGAAATTGTTAATATCAGTATTTTTGATAAATGAAGTACTCAAATTATAAATGGATGTGATGTGATTTAAATACCTGAACATGAAGTAGGTGATGGCTTTGTGAGATTGGAAATGGATGCCCTGCCCATGTGATGATCTTTTTCTCTCATGGCTACTTTTGCCTAGAGATGTCTATCTTTTCTCTCCTCTGAGCTTTTGTTCTAAGCCTTGGTTGCTATTTGTTATTTAAGCCCTTTTCCCCTTAAAAAATGGCTTTTGCCTATTACTGACTTTGAGTTAGGAATAAAAAGCATTCCTTAATCAGTGAGTGTTTACATCAGAATCAGCCTAAGATGGGCAGCTTTTCTTTGTATTGGTACTTTAGAAACTTCTAAAAACTTGGTTGTCAATTAAAATATGTATGTAAACACAAAATCTTTTTTTTTTTTTTTTTCACAGCCTCTTCTAGAAAACAAGCTTAAAGCGTTCAGTATTGGAAAAATGAGCACAGCAAAGCGAACCTTAAGTAAGAAGGAACAAGAGGAACTAAAGAAAAAGGTAATGTTTGAACTGTATTTTAGGTTATGCTTGGTTATGTGAATGTGTAGGGAGCAGTAGACACCATGTTTCCTGAAGAATTTGATTGCTTAGATGTTTGCAACTCCACACACGAATCACGTCTTTAACACAGAAGATGTTTAGATGAGTTCAGCTTCTCTTCCTGTCTTCTGGTCTATTTCTCTTAGTGATGATTAGTTCTTTTATGATGTGTTGTTTTTGTCAGTGTGTGTAGTGTGTGTTTAGGTGTGCATGCACTGTATTGTTCCCATTTCCCTGAGATGAGTGCTGTAGAGTGAGGGCACTTTCCTCCATTTATCTTTTTAATGAATGTCTTTGTGATTACTTGTAGGGTAGAAGCATTCCATGTTCATAGCATTGTCAGTTTGTAATAATTTACTCATTTAAAATCCTACAGAGGGATTTGTGGTTTTGCTCCTTAGACTTTATATTACAAATAATGCTGTTAGGAATAATGTTACACATAGGTGCATTTTTTTTTCCAGTTTGTTTTTGGAACATATTCCTGAAAGGGAAATTGTTGGAGTGAATGGTAAATTAATAAATGTGGTTCTGCTGTACTTGTCAGTATCGTCAGAGTGTTCTCTGTAGGGCAGGGACACTTTGTTCCCTATCAGTAATGTTATTAGTGATGTCCCTAACCTGATACACTTGAAAGTAGGGGGAGGAGTTTTTGCCAGTCTATATAGTGTGAAAAATAACGCCTCTGTTTATATTTGCAGTTCTTTTAGTGGGAATACAGTTGACTAGCTCCTGCCTCTGTTTTATTTTTCTCTTGGTTTTATTTTTCCTTGTAAAAATTGTTAAATTCAGTTGTCAGTCTTTTCCCACAATTTCTGTGTTTCTAATCAAGTGTATTTTTCTTTCCCTTTCCATTTCTGGCTTATAGAAGAATTTCCCTGTATTTTCTTTTAGGATCTGTATTCCTAGGAGAATACCAATTAATTCCTTAGGATTGTTTTCATTTTTAAGAAAATCTAATCTTTCTGTAGTTTTTCTTAGAAAGAATTGACCTCATTTTATTTTTTACATATAGTTAGTTGTCAGTTATGCTGGTCAATTTTGGGAAAGTCTCTATCTCCCACTGACACTAGATGCTCCTTTTACTGATGTACTTATTCCTTTAATTGAGTAACACTTTTCTACTTGTTATTGGATGTCTTTTCTGATATGTTCCATTCTAATGTTTGATTGGGCGTTTGAGGCAGTGTCTCCTTATGTGGCTGCTTTGTCTTTCTGTATTGACCTCTGAAGTAATAGGCATATACTACCATTCTCAGCTTGCCTTTTTTTTTTTTTTTGAGATAGGGTTTCTCTGTATATCCTTGGCTGTCTTGGACTTACTTTGTAGACAAGGCTGGCCTCAGACCCACAACGATTCTCCTGCCTCTGCCTCCCTGAGTATTGGGATTACAGGTGTGCACCACCACGCCTGGCTTGCTTATTCATACATATTTTGGGAATACTTAGGTGATTTATAAGTGAGAATATCAGTTCTAGCGTTTTCTTTAATTCCATGTCAGGAGTAGGTACTGTGGCTTTGCTTCTGTTGTATCTTTGATTATTTGAGAATGAAGTTTTTATATTTACGAATTAAGTCGTCACATCTTGGAGAACTTCTTAATATAGTAATTAGGATAATATGTTTTCATAAAGTTACTTTGTCTTACATTTTGATTTTTGAATTGTCTTTAAATATATTTGTTTACCTGTATGTATGTAAGTTATTTTTTTCAACTCTAAATTTTTAGTAAAGGAGCAAAGCCTTTTGTTTTAATTACTTAACATTTAATTGTTGTAATACCTAATGTCCGCCAAATATTAGATGCTAGAATTACATGAGAAGGGAGAGGTTTTACATGTTATTTCTTTTCTTTTTTATGTATATGGGTGTTGGGCCTGCCTGTGTTTGTGCACCTTGTGTGCCTGACCAGAAGAGGGAGTTGGTCCCCTAGGACTGGAGTTACAGATGGTTGTGAGCTGCTGTGTGGATGCTGGGACTGGGTCCTTAGGAAGAAGAGCCCGTGCTCTCAACTGAGCTGCCTCTCCACTTGGTGGTGTTAGTCTTTAATACCAGCATTTGGCAGGCAGGTCTCTGTTAAAGACCAGTCTGGTCTACATATTGAGTTTAGATCTGCCTGGCGTACATATTTAATCCCGACTCAAAACAAAAGAACAAAACAAGTCAGACCACACTTAAACAGCAATTCTTTGTCACTAGTATTTCTAATGCACTAATGTACCATTATGCATTTAGGAGGATGAGAAGGCAGCTGCTGAAATTTACGAGGAATTTCTTGCTGCTTTTGAAGGAAGTGATGGTAATAAAGTGAAAACATTTGTTCGAGGAGGGGTTGTTAATGCAGCTAAAGGTAAGTGCAGAGATCTGGATTTGAACAAATCTTGGATAATGTGACAGCAGATTAATTATGGAAGACATCTGACTTTAAATTTCATGTTTCTTTTCTATTAGCACCCTCTAGTGGTTAGAGTAATTAACACTATAAATGACCAAATAGGGAGTAATGAAGAGATACCAAATTTGATAATTGGACTATATAAAGGAGATAATAATAATATTTAAAAACCTCTTTGTATCTCTCAAGTTTATAAAAGCAAATTATGTTGCAAAATTTTTAGAGTTTTGTAGTTCTACTATAAAGTGATTAAGTTGTGATTTTTTTTCAGATAGAGTGGTAATATGTAAATTTAATTTCATTCAAATCTTAATACTAAAAGAGTAAGTAAGAATAACAAGTAAGAATAACAAAAACCAAAATTATGTAGTTTTACAACCTAGTATTTTAAATTTCAGATGAACATGAAACAGATGAAAAAAGAGGTAAAATCTACAAGCCATCTTCAAGGTTTGCAGATCAAAAAAATCCTCCAAATCAGTCGTCCAATGAAAGGCCACCATCTCTTCTTGTGATAGAGACAAAAAAGCCTGTAAGTCATTATTAAATAATTGAGCATTTATTGTAGAAGCTGGCATTGTCATTGGTACTTTGAGTGTATCCCCTGTAAGAAATTTTTTACGGTTTATAAGTCTTGAAGTAAGTGTTGAGTTTTTGATGTTGTCTAACTCAGTAATTTATGTAGACAACTGTTGAAGGATTAGGTCAGGTCATGTAGTCTGAACACTTGTTTCTGTGTTCATATTATATATTTTAGGTCAGAACTTGGGTTCTAAATGTAGGGTAACATTATTCTTTTAACGGTCCTGAACCAAGACCCTAAATTTATTAGCAACATGTAGTACATGTTTCTTGGGTTGGTTTAGTAATTACTGTCAGAGCTGACGTTTCTGTCTTGTAAGTTCTCATTATAGAGTTTTCTATTCATTGGAAATAGGAGTTTTACATTGATAGATGTGGGATCAGGTCTCTTGGAGCCACAGTTTGATTAGTTAAATATGATTACATTAAATAGTGACATTGATTTTTTTTTTCTTGAGTGGCTGTTAAGATAGCTCTGAAAACAATCAAAACATAACATCTTTATTGCTATATAATTCACATACCGTAAAATTTGCTCTTTAAAGTGTATATAATTAGATGGGATCTTTCAGTATATTCACGGTTATTCAAAAATTGCCATTTTGCAATTCCAGAAGCTTTTTGTCACTACCAAAAGAAACCATATATTTCGTTTGATATTTGTTTCACCTAAACTTATTCTTCATAGCCACTGAAGAAAGGAGAGAAAGAAAAGAAAAAAAGCAATTTGGAGCTTTTCAAAGAAGAACTAAAGCAGTAAGTTTTATAGGAAGAATTCTCTATCACAGGCATATTGGACTGGTAATTACAGTTGTTACGATATGTATTAGTTAATATCAGCTGCCTTACAAGTGAGCTTGCTATGGCTATAACAAATGATAGCATGTACTTAAAAGTCAACTAGCATTACATCAGTGTCTTGCTGCTTGTAATGAGTGGATTTAAATCAGTTGGCTTATTTTCTGTCTGGAATCCTGTTTATTCACTATGGTTGAAGTAAGGGGTCATCAGATTTATTAAGAGCAAAAATGTAAGCAGTAGTTTCATGTTGAATTTTGTTTTTACACTAAGGGAGATAGATAATTGTTCCTGTCTTGTAACCGAGGGGGCTAAGTATTCTTGGTTATAATTATAATTAATGTTATTATATAATAATGAAAATACTGTTTGAAAATGATACTTAGGTAAGCTTTATTGCTAAATATGAATAACTTGTGGCTTACTCTTAGTTGACTGTAAATATTTTGAACAGAATTCAGGAAGAACGTGATGAGAGACATAAGACAAAAGGCAGGTTAAGTCGATTTGAACCTCCTCAGTCAGATTCTGATGGTCAGCGACGTTCTAGTAAGTGATGTTTATTTTAATGTACATATTTATGATTCACTGTCCAAAATCTAAGAGTTGTTTTCTTTTTCCCCCCTTTAAGTGGACGTGCCTTCAAGAAGAAATAGATCATCTGGTGGTAATACCGTGTTTTTGCTTTTGTAATTAATAGAAATAGTTTCAGCTTTGTTCTTTGCAGGGTATAATTTGTTTTTCTCCTTGTTCTAGTTCTTGATGACTATGCGCCTGGTTCCCATGATGTAGGAGACCCAAGCACTACCAACTTATATCTTGGAAATATCAATCCACAGGTAAAAGAAAGTTTAAAAGAAAATGTGTTGGCTCATGTTCATTTTTTTGTTGGACAGTTAGATGAAATTAAGATTCTGAAGTTGATAGATCTAATGTAACTAGATAGTATTTAATATTTGTTTTGGAAACTTGGAATTTAGTTAGATCCAAATTGTTTCCTGTACATCTTGAAGGTGTATCTTTTTAGTAACTAGACTGTACTCTTTGAGACACCTGTTCTGATGTGTGTAGCTTGCTTTCTTACGGAGTTCAGTTTTTTTTTTTCCATGTGCCTTTCCCTCTTTGAATGGTTTTCTTATCTTAGCTTGTGCTTGGACGACTCCTGTCTCCCACCTCCCTGGGCTGGGGTTGCAGCACATGCTACCATGCTGGTGTCAGCGTTTTAATTCTTCCGCTGCAGCTTGATTAGTATGTTTAGAGGATATGGTAGTTAGAGTATTTTGTTGAAAAAAAATTAACCTTTGATCCTGCTCTGTATTTACTGACTTTTTTGATTCTGTTCTTGATCATTCTGCAGATGGGTACTAGAGACAGGAAAGTGATGGGGCCTTTTTTCCTTCTATCATCAACAAATACACTCCCCACTCTTGCTTGAAATGCTGTTCAATATATGGACAAACCACTGTTGCAAACAGATGTTTTGACCCCAAGATCTTCAAACAGGAAGAGAATTCAGACATGCCTGTGTTTCCAGTAGCTCTTAAGACCCTAAGCCTTAGCTGCTTATTTAAAATTTAAGGGACTTGGAGAGATGGCTTAATGGTTAAGAGCACTCATTGCTCTTCCGAAGGTCCTGAGTTCAATTCCCAGGATCCGCATAGCAAACTGTCTGATGTTATCTTCTGGTGTGCAGATGTACAGGGAGGCAAAGTACCCATATACATAAAATACAAAATAAATAAACCTTCAAATATTTAAGTAGAAAGTTTCTAATATGAAAATACTGCAAATGCCCTGGCAGGGCAGTTTTTTTTTTTTTTTTTTTTTTTTTTAAACCTGTGTAGAGTTTCTAATATTTGAATGTAATATTGTCACATTAATAGGTTGCTTTTTCCTTTTTACATGATTTTGCTTTCTGGGCTGCATAGAATTCTTTGCTCTTCCTTTTTTTGTTTTACATAACCAAACACTGATGTTTTAATAGATGAATGAAGAAATGCTGTGCCAAGAATTTGGAAGATTTGGACCATTAGCTAGTGTAAAAATTATGTGGCCTAGAACTGATGAAGAAAGAGCAAGAGAAAGAAACTGTGGCTTTGTGGCTTTTATGAATAGAAGAGATGCTGAAAGAGCACTAAAGAATTTAAATGGTAAAGTCCTATTGTCTACTTAGAGAATTTAGATATTTCTTTGATATAGAAAATTATTCATTGAAAACTAAGAATTTAGATCAAATTTGAAAGCATTTGAAAGGAAATTTAATTGAAGTCATTCTGGAGGCTTGTTAAATTAACCTTTTTTTTTTTCTGTAGGAAAAATGATTATGTCTTTTGAAATGAAGTTAGGTTGGGGTAAAGCTGTACCTATTCCTCCACATCCAATATACATTCCTCCTTCAATGATGGAACACACGCTGCCCCCTCCTCCATCCGGACTGCCTTTTAATGCGCAGCCTAGAGAGCGATTAAAAAACCCCAATGCTCCCATGTTGCCACCACCCAAAAACAAGGAGGATTTCGAGAAGGTAATTTAAAAAGTGTACATAGGGCTGCATCTAATATGTAAATACTATATCTGTGGTAGTGTTTCTTTTCAACAATTTTATAGAAATGTGTGTGACTCTGGCAACTCATAAAGTAATAAGTAGATATGTTCCCTGCCTTAGCCCATGAAAACCCTGTATTAAAATATTAGGTCATATTTAATATTTTTATTTGTGACTACCATTCCCTTTTGACCACTAGGTAAGCCTTCCCACCCCTCCCCCAGTGTTGTATTCAGTGTTTGAACTTATTTGTTCTGACAGCGTGATAGTTTTTATTTGGTTAAGTGACATTTCAGTTTAGAAAGCCCACTTAAATAGTTAAATTGTTTGGATGACAGCAAACTAACTTAGCTTTCTAGAGTTACTAGACTATATAATAGCATATATGTTATTTCAAAAATAGTTAATCTAGTAAAAACAAAGGGTGAGTATTTTTCTTTATTAAACATAAAACCAACTTAATTTCAAGTTATAAGAATTTGTTGGTTCTATTATGAGTTAATTACACTTGAAATCGCAGGGCTGGTTTTAAAGGCTTGGGAACAAAGTAGCAAACTTTGTCAGAGGCAAACAGTTAATTACTTCACAAATTAAAATCTTTAACTGATAATTCTCAGTGTAGTACCTATTTTAGTGCATTGATGTGCATTCTAGCAGGAATGTTCTGATTCTTTGCATTTGGTGAACATTAATTGTTCACTGTGAACACATCCATTTGCATTTATGTTATTGCTTAGTGTATTATTACTTCAAATGCAGTGATTGCCTGCAGAACTTGTGATTAGATGTGTAGTATTTTCAATGCATATGTATATTTTTGCTTGTTACTTGTTAACAATACTCACATATTCTATGTTTATTATCTGATGTGACTTCATATACAGACTCTGTCGCAAGCCATAGTCAAAGTGGTTATCCCAACAGAAAGGTACATGTTTTTCTTTATTATTACTGATCTAAATATAGACAATATCCCCTTCTGAATTGAAAAGAACTGGTGTTGAGGAAAAGGTAATACCTTGACTGAGCAATGGCTCCTTCCCAGTACTTTTTGGGGGGAGGATGTATAAAAATTAAGTAAGTTTAGTACATTTTGCAATTTTATGTCATCTTTTCTTTTGTTTTTATTATCATGTTAGAGAGTTTTTAATAGCTTTAGAAATTAAACTGTTTAAATAGATTAATGTGGAGTTGTTGGTCTGTTAATTTGAAACTAGGTATTTTAAGTAAATAGGTGTTTTAAGTAAATTTTAGATAGTGTTACAATTTGACCCAGTCTATTACTTTCTCTTGGTTTCTGGATTATCTATATTTAATGTACAATCTTGGTTTTAGATCTTACTGAAGGTGCAGATATATATATTTTTTCCTTAATTGATTTTTAAGAAGAAATTGCAATTGTTTTCATGCACAATTATTGTATTAGGAACTTTTAGTCATAATAACAAAGGTGTTTGGGTCTCTTTATTTTTCTTTCTTCCCCCATTTTATTTCTTTTTTAATACACTGCTAATGAGGAATAATCATGCTGTAGGTGTGCTCTTGCTCAGTCAAGCTCAGCCTTTTCCCAAACACAGGAACACAACACTGGTTGAATAATAAATGAACACAAAAGTATTCCAAATTCTCTTTGACATTGGCCTTGGTGAGCAGCACCAGCTGAACTGTCTGCGGCAGCGGGGGACCAGGAAACATCATGGGATGGATTGGGAAAGTATACAGTTTTTGACCAGACATTGGTACGATCGACTCCAATAAATGTGGTTTTTATTATAACTGAGAGACTTTTTTTTTTTTTTTGTTGTGGTTGCCCAGAATAAGATAATTACTGTTTAAAAATAAAATAATGCACTTTAAAATATAACATTTTTGTACTACACTCTTTTGTTTTGATAGAAAGTCATTTTTTTAAATAAAATTATATAATCCTTAAGGAAAAAGTATAACAACTGTCTACTTTTGATTCCAAGTCAGCAGCAACTAATTGTCAGATTTCAATTTTAAATAATTATGAAACATTTTTAAACTTACTTTAAACTTGTAATTTTATAAAGATTTTTATCAGTTACAAGCCTGTTTAATACTATAGTGGGTTATTTTTCCACTGTTAGTGATCACAGGGAAAGTATTTTTTGTAGCATTCAAAAAAACAAGTCTAGTAATTTTATGTGTGACTCAGCTTATTGCTAAATAAAATTTTGTGTATTTGTTTTGCTGAAAAGTCTTGACTTAAAATTAGAATGAATCATTTGGTTTTAAATTTGATAAATCACTGTTCATGTTCCCTAAATTACTCAAGTCAAACTGTTATTTTACTATATTGATAAAAGCCTCTGGGTCTATAACATTTGTCCACCTCGTCAATGGTCATGTAATACGATTTGCACATAAAATGTCCCTGAGTTTTAATTTGCCGTTTAGCAGTGGGGATTTTAGAATTGAGTACCAATTACATGGCCCCTTTCTAAGTGGCACGAATTGCATAGGTGCATTGAGTTTCTTCTCACTAGTGAGCACTACTGCAGTCTGCACAGCAGTTAAGACTTTTGTGAAGGAAAATAATTTTTAAGTTAAAATTAAGTGATTAAAAAACAATTTGAAGTTGAATTGGTAGTTCTAAATGTATAATTTCCTCTTGTTAAGATTTAAACCTTCATGTAATTTTTTGGTCTTTGCAATTAACTTTTTTTACTATGTAGAAATATTAGTGTCCATTTAAGTTGTGTTGTTTGAAAACTGTAGAAAATATAGTCAGTAATAGAGATTATTTCATTGTCAGGTACTTTGAAGCAAAGTATTATAGAGCACCCCTCCAAAAAAACTGTCTTCTATAATTATACTTATATTCTAGTTACTTGTCACATGGACTTAATTGAGCTGAGAATATTCAAGATGTAATTTATGTGTGTCTTATATCAAGAGCCAATATCCTTTTGCCTTTCCCAGCTATTACTTGCCAGCTTTGTGCTACCTGGGGACTGTCAAGAGCAGCTTATGAGTATAAGCTGAGTCATGTCTACCTGATGCATTAGTTAGTGTCTGAAATTAGTTTGAAATCTTAAAAGATCTTATTTTCAGATAAAAAAAATTCTTTCCGTGAATGCACGCAATAAAGTGACTTAATAAGACAGTTACTTGTATCTTTTTGGCTTAACTATTGAAAGATGAGCATTACAGAAAGTGGACACCCTCACTGTGTCCCCAGGAGTGAAGGAGTTGATCCACTCATGGCTTTACAATAGAAATTTTTCATTGATTGATAATATGCAGGCAGGATTACATGTTAGGAATTGTAAACTAATTTTGAAGTGTGTTTCAAAGGGATGTTGCCTCATTAAAGGTCAGATTTAATAAAAACTCCATCTGGTATGTGTATACTAGAATCACAGGAATTTGGATGGGTCTTTTATTAAATCAGGGCTTAAATTTGATAAATAGCTTTACATTTTTGTAAATTAAAGTTATGGTTATAACATTTCATTATCATTATGAAAGTGACTGTATTAGGAATATTTTCTCTTAAAACAGACATAGTGTATATATTTTTAGATGGCTGTAACATGCAAATTGTAAGTTAATAATTTTATGTATTCGCAGCTATCCAATTAGTTGTGATTTTTTTTGCATTTTGAAAATATTATTAAGTGGCATTTAGAAAATTAAATCTATAACTATAAGGCTGTCTTGTGGCTTCCCACACTCCTTTACCTCTCCTTCCTTCCCATTCCTCTACCCTCACTGCCCCATTCCCTCTTAATTAATGCACAAGGCCTATGTGTGCTCCAGGTTGTTTTTTTTTTTTTTTTTTTGTTAGTTTGTTTGTTTTTCTATTAAATTCTGTTAGCAGAGTGTTTTTTTTTTTAACTGCATCATTATAGTAACTTAGGTCAAGTGTAGGTTTGTATAGGGGTATGTCTGAATCCATTTTCTTTAACTGTGTTGTTGTTGTAGGAATTTGCTCGCCCTGATACACCGAATGATAGAATTTGTTGTACGTGAAGGGCCAATGTTTGAAGCTATGATTATGAACAGAGAAATCAACAATCCTATGTTCAGGTGTGCTTTTTTTTTTAACTTATCGTAATAAATCTATAACAAAATTTAGTATTAACTATTTTTAAGTGGCATTGAGTACATTCACATTACTAAACAATGTTACCATTCATCCATTCATTTTCAGACATCTTTTCACCTTCTAGAACTGAAACGCTATGCTCATTAAAGAGTAACTAACTCTCCATCTCTCTGGCCTCAATAATAATCTATGTCTATATTCTATACTTATCCTCAGATATGCATTTTAAAGCCTCTTTTAACTCTTTCTTTTTTTCTTTCTTTCTTGTTTGGTATTAAAAATATTTCCAAGAGGGAACTAGTGGTACAGCTCACTGGGTTAAGCGCTCTTGCTGCCAAGCTGACAAATTGAGTTCAGTCCCCAGAACCCATGTGGAAAGAGAGCAGTTCCCAAAAGTTCTGCTTTAACTGTCATTTGTTCTGTGGCATGAATGAGCACATGCACATATACAAACAAATAAGTGCTATGTATGTATTTTTGTCCAAGAATAAAATTCTAAAAACAAAGAATTTTGCAGGATAAGAAGTGAGTCTTAGTCTTTAAGGCTAGAATGTGTTTAGATTGTTTTTTCCATCACTTATTTAGTTATTGTATAACAACTTTAGAATTATCTAGGACGAAAACAGTATTTCATTATTGCTTTTCCAATGAAAGAGTCATAAGCAAGCTAGAATTGAGCAAAGTAGTTTGAAAGAAAATTATTATCTGAATTGCATTCTCTAAGACATTGATTTAAATGGTAAACAAGGCAAAGGTTTTTCAAGTTTACATATTGAGAAAATCTTTCCAATATTCTAATAAATCTTCTGACCTGTGTTTTAATAACAATAGTCCTGCCAAATACGGTGTGGTGGCACACATCTTTAATACTAGCACTTGGGAGGCAGAGGTAGGCGGATCTCTATGAGTTTGAGGACAGCGTTTTTGGGGTACATGGTGAGTTCCAAGAAGGTCACAGCTACATAGAGAGACCCTGTCTCAAACAAAACAAAACAAAACATTAAATTAAAAAAAAATTTATAAAAATAGTCATGACTCAGTGAGACACATTCATTGTGTTCACATTAGTTTCTGAGACAGTCTGGAGCAGGGGAAAGGTGAATATCATGGAAGATAGGATCCCTCCCCTACCACCTTGCCCGAGAATCTGCCTTTGGTCTTTAGAAGTAAGGAGGCACATAGTATTTCTCATTTGTTTAATTGATAGTAGTTCCTTTTTTTTTTTTTTTTTTATTTGAATAGGCTGTTTCATGTAGAACTGTAAAGTAGATAGCTCTCTCCTAAAGAAGATGGTATTTAATGGTTCTGTTTGTTTTGTTTAGGTTCTTATTTGAAAACCAGACACCAGCCCATGTTTACTACAGGTGGAAACTTTATTCTATTCTGCAGGCAAGTAGAAGCAATTACCTTGTTGACTTAACTTGGAGGTTTAGACCTGTCTAATAACGTTCTGGGTATTACTAGGGAGATTCTCCAACGAAATGGCGGACAGAAGATTTTCGCATGTTCAAAAATGGATCCTTCTGGAGACCACCACCATTAAATCCATACCTTCATGGGATGTCAGAAGAACAAGAGACAGAAGCATTTGTAGAGGAGCCTAGTAAAAAGGGAGCACTTAAGGAAGAGTAAGATTTTTTTCTGTTATGTATTCAGGAAAGTTGCTTTAATGGTTGCTTTCATTGGTTGTCTTGCTGTGACTGTTTCACCTGTAAGATACAGCAGTATTTTCACTTGCAAATGTGTAATAGTAACATGTTTTATTATACATCATGATTTTAGACATCTGGGATAAACACAGTGGTAAAGACAAGTAATTGTTCTGTTGACCTTGACTCTCTCTGATGGAATTAGTGTTTATCTCTTAGACACAGTTGAGCGCTTTCTGTGGCATTGCAGTAAAGTTCTTCTAGAGGTCACCTGGAGACTGAGAATTCTCGCCAGAGTGTAAGGTGAAAGAAGAACAAGTACTGTGTAGCTAGTTTGGTCTAGGCAAAGCCTTTTCGTAGTTTGTGTGTAGTAGTTCTGAGATAGCAACTAGCAAACATTAATATTAGTGCTCACTGGTGAGGTGGCTCACCTAATAAGAGCACTTTCTACACTTGCCAAGGACCTGGATTCAGATCCCAGAGCCTACACCGTAGCCCACAATCTCCAGTATCTCAGTTCTAGGGTTCCAGTGACCTCTTATGGCCTCTGCAGCCACCAGATTGGCATGTTGTGAATATATACACATACATGGAGGTAAAAACTCAAGCATATAAGATAAAAATTTAATCTTAAAAAAAAAAATTAGTGGTCACTCAGAATAGGTATAGCCACATTTAAAAAAGCAGAAGTATTTAATAAGTGTTTAGAGGTTCTTCATAAGCTCATGAAAAACGTTGGCTAAAAGATTTTAGCATGGGACCTAGAGAGATGGCTCGGTGGTTAAGAGCACTGGATGCTCTGCTGCAGGACCCTGGCTCAATTCCCAGCTGCCACGTGGCAGCTCACAGTTGTCTGTAAGTCCATTTCTAGGGGATCTGACACCCTCACACAGACATGTGTAGGCAGAACACCAATATACATAAAATAAAAATAAATGATTAAAAGTGATTTAGCATGTAATGTTACATACTTCATTGCAGTGTGTAAGGCTCACTAGCCATTGCGCCAGTGCGTTGCTGAGGTGTTTGTTAGTGGAAGCCTTCAGTTGCTGAGTGTGTCCTTCACGTGTATGCTCGCCTCATTATCTGCAGAGCCAGTGCTTAGTCCACATCCAGCTGTGTCCTGGCTTTGTCAATAAAGGTTACAGTTCTTATGTAACCACAACTGTAATAGTTACTTATTGTGATTGATAATTTACTTACTGTATTTTGTGTGTGGGCACGTGTGTGCGGGCACGGTGTGCACATGCTGTGGCATACATGTGGAGGTTAGTGGACAACTTGAAAGACTCTTTTTCTTTTCAACCCTGTGGTTCTTAGGGATGAAACTGAGGTTATCAGGCTTGCAGGCAAGTGCCCTTATCTGTTGTGCCTTCCAAGTAAAGTTGTATTGAAACACAATGGCGCTCATATCTTGACATGCATATAAGGTTGCCTTGGAATTAAAGCAGTAGAGAGACTGTCTTACAGAGACCATGTGGCCTGTAGGACCTAAAATAGTTACGTTTTCCTTACAGAAAAATCTTGTCCTACTTAATTCCTTGTAAAAGTGTTAAAGTAATCCTTCAAAGAAAGGATGTGGAGAACTTGGACGTTTTCTGTTTTAAGTGGGGACAGTAAGAATGGAACACTTTTGGAGACTTTTAAAAAAATGAACATAATTTAAAATTTACTTATTTTTGTTTTTAAAAAGTTAGAACATTTTGTTAGTTTTAGAAAAAGTATTCTTTATATAAGTTCTTTAAAATTTTGTAACAAAGTTGGGGAACCTAACAACTCAATCTTAAAAACCATTTTATCTGAGTAGGCTTTAAATTAGTTTTTTGTGAGGTGAACCAATGTAACTGATATACTAGAGCAACAGCTATGATAACTAGTCTGTGAGTAGTAATTATTGGGACATTTGGGGTGTTTAAATATTTATAAGTGAAAAATTTATATTCAGACAGCGGGATAAATTAGAAGAAATCTTGCGAGGATTAACTCCAAGGAAAAATGATATTGGAGATGCCATGGTTTTCTGTCTTAATAATGCTGAAGCTGCAGAAGAAATAGTGGATTGCATTACTGAGTCGTTGTCCATCTTAAAGACACCTCTTCCCAAAAAGGTAATAGAAGGATTTTCATTCTTTCAGAACATCTAGTTAAGAGAAGTGGGGATAATAATTGACTTTAAGTTGGAACTTTTTAAGTTGTAAGAAGGTTTTTTCTTTTTCTTTTTTTTTTTTTTTTACTTAAAGAGCTTGACTGATGAAATCTTTTCTATACATTTCTACTTTTGTTCTGTCTGAGAAACTGGTTGAAATGTAAATAAATTAACATTGTATTCCTGCAAAAGCCATGATTGTAATGATGCTAGATCTCATATAACTCTAATAATTAGTGGTTACTATTAAAAATTATAGTTAAAGAGGCTGGAGAGATGGCTCTGATGCTAGATCTCATATAACTCTAATAATTAGTAGTTACTATTAAAAATTATAGTTAAAGAGGCTGGAGAGATGGCTCAGAGGTTAAGACTGGCTGTTCTCTCAGAAGTCTTGAGTTCAGTTTACAGCAACCATATGGTGGCTCATGACCACCAAGATTTGGTGCCCTCTTCTGGCCTGCAGGCATACATACAGGCAGAACACTGTATATATAATAAATCCATCCATCCATCCATCCATCCATCCATCCATCCATCCATCCATCCATCCATCCATCATAGCAAAACTTAGCCCCTGCCACTACTTCAAGAAATGAGTATATAGGCATCTTTCTAGATATGCTATTGGGTAATGTTTTCATTTTTCCTCATTTTATGTTACAGATTGCCAGATTATATTTGGTTTCTGATGTTTTATACAACTCTTCAGCCAAAGTTGCCAATGCTTCATACTACAGGAAATTGTAAGTATAAAATATGAGCTGATACTCTTGAAATAATTGTGTTTAAGGATGAGGAGATCAAAAAAGAGGATTGTTCTGTTAACATTCTTTATTAATAAATAGTTTTAGTGGTCATTGAAATGGCTTAATGGGTTAAGGGGCTGTGGCAAGCCTGATGACTGAGTTTGAGTCTAGGAACTCATGTAAAGATGGAAGGAAATAAATGACCCCATAAAGTTGTCTTCTGACCCCAACTTCACTCCAGCCTTACAGTAGTAATAATAAGTGAAAAGTTTAAAAAGATTATTTTAATCTATTCATTTAGTAGAATTTTTAAAGAAGTGGACTTAATGTTTATTGAATTAAATCAATGTAAGCCAAAATAGTTTTTTAAGAAGTTTTTTTCTCCAGTTTTTCTTTCTTTTTTTTTTTTTTAAGGTTTATTTCTTTATTATTAATACAATGTTCTGTCTGCATGTACACCTACACGCCAGCAGAAGGCACCAGATCTCATTATAGATGCTTGTGAGCCACCATGTGGTTGCTGGGAATTGAACTCAGGACCTCTGGAAGAGTAGCCAGTGCTCTTAACCTCTGAGCCATCTCTCCAGACCCCCAGTTTTTCTTTTTAATGGCATTTGTGTGTATGTCTGTACAAACATGGAACATGACCTGTGAGTGAAGGTCAGAGGACAGCTTGTAGGGGTTGACTCTTCCAGTCACATGGGTCCAGAGACTGAACTCAAGTTGTTCACCTTGGCAGCAAGTGTTTTTAGCCACTGAGCCATGTAGCCGGTCTTTTTTTTTTTTTTTTTTTTTTTTTTTTTAATTGAACTAGGGTCTTATTCTAGCCCAGATTGCTTAGAACTGACTGTGTAGCCCAGACTGATTGTGAGCTTGTGGCAGGCTTCTTGCCCTAGCCTTCCAGGTGCTGAGATTATAGTATAAACCACTATGCTTTATATTTTAGTAAATATTGACAGTAAATCAAATAGGTGAACTTTAAAAAAAATGAAAACTTTTATTTTGCCTATTTAGCTACTTTCAAGTAAGCATAAATAGTGTAATAAATTATGGTATATATAAAAGAAAGCAAAGCTTTAACATCATTGTTTTCTTTTGATAATCATTGTATTGAGTTTTTAAAAAGATATGTTTATTTTTATTATTTCCACATGAGTGCTTTGCCTGCATGTATTAGGTGTATCACATGTGTGCCTGGTGCCCATGTGGGCCAGAAGAAGGTGTCAGATCCCCTGGAATTGTAGTTGTGATCTGTCATGTCAGTACTGGGAGCTGAATGAACTCAGTGCCCTTAATAGCTATCTCTAGAGCCCTGTTCTTTGGTTTTCCTTGTTCTTATTGTTAAAGCAGGAGGGAGTTGTGGTGAGTGTCATAATTCATAATGTAAACCTTCAGTGTAACAAAGCTCCCCTTCTGTATCTGTTATATGATCAAGCTCAGGGAAGGGAGTTGACTCTAAAAGGAAATTCAGAATTGTGGCCTAGACTGGAAATTGTAGCTCAGTTGGTTGAGTGTTTTCCTGGCATGAAGAAACACTGGGTTTGATTTCCAGCACCACTCAAAACCAGGTGTGATGGTACACACTGTCATCTGGCAGTCCAGAGGCAGAGGCAGGAGGATCGAGGCCATTCTAGCAAAGTTATATAGTGAGAAGCAACTGGGGACTGATTTGCATTTCTATCTCCTAAGTTCCTAACTTTGAAGGTTTTTTTTTTTTTTTTTTTTTTTTTACTTCCCTCTTTCTCTTCAACCCTATACCTTGCCCATTAACACTTTTTATTGATATAAATATATTTTATAATATATCCAGACCCTGACTGGCACCACTTTTCCAGCTGTTGGCCCAAACTGTCATTGTCTGAACTGAATCACAGTAGTAGTCTCCTAACTGGTTTTCCCTCTTCTACCTCCTTGTCTGTTTTCTATACCGCATTCAGGTTATCCTTTGAAAACACAAGTCATGCTGGGTGGTGGTGGCACACACCTTCAATGCTAGCACTCCGGAGGTGGAGGCGGGTGGATCTCTGTGAGTTTGAATACAGCCAAGGCTACACAGAGAAAACCTGTCTTAGGAAAAAAAAAAAAAAAAAAAGGAAAGGAAAGGAAAAGAAGAAAGAAAACACAAGTTATAACCTAGGGATAGGTAGAGTTCAGTTTGTAGAGTGCTTGTCTAGTGTGCCAGAGCTCTTGGCTTTGATCCTCAGCACTAAAATATCAGGTGTGGTGTCTGCATAGCATTTGGAAGGTGGAGGCTAGAGGATAAGAAGTTAAAGGTTATCTGTGGCTACATAGCAAGTCCTAGGTTAGCTTAGGTTACATATGTCTGTCTGTGTCTGTGTGAGTGTATGTGTAGATGAGAGGGGGAATGGTATCAGGAGGAAAGCCCTACTTTTAATTCTGCTAGTACTTTTTTTTTTGCATCATGTATATCACTTATCTTTTAAGTTTGTTTTTTATATGACACAAAGAAGGAGGACCACATGGCTAAGTTCATCCTAAATGCAAATTGCTTGCTAAAGAAGGACACTGCTATTTTAAATTTCTTAATTTGCTTTATCTATAAGACCAGGAGAGGTTTTCATTGGCTAGTGGGCTGAAGAAAATGTGAATTTTAAAAACAATTTTGTTTTAAAGAATGTATTGTTTGAATTTCAGTTTTGAAACAAAGCTATGTCAGATATTTTCAGACCTCAATGCTACTTACCGTACAATTCAAGGCCATTTACAATCTGAAAATTTTAAGGTATGTATGTTTTATTGTTTCTGCCCGATGTGTCAAATGGAGGAGGGCATTAGAGGGCTGTGAAGGAATGTAAGACAAGTATATTTAAAATTTAAATATTTTAGAAATTACTCTTTAAATTCTTTAAAATATTGTGTTGTCAGGTAGCTTTTAGATATATGTAATTATTTAAATGTTTTATTTAAATTTTCCTGTAATGATTTATTAGTTTTAATTATGTGTATGTATCTCTTTTTGGATATATGCACATGTGTGCAGATATCTACCCAGGCCAGAGGCATAGGATCTTCCTGGAGTTGGAGCTACAAGCAATTGTGGGCCAACTGATTTTAGGTGCTGGGAGCTGAACTCAGGTCCTCATGCCTTATTTACATATTTTAATACCGTTTTTTTTTTCCTCCTCACAACACATTCAGAAGACCATTTGTTTTCCATGGCATATATAATGTGTTCTGGTTACTCATGGGTTTAGAATGTCTCTTCAGACGCTTGGCTTCAGTGTGGCAGGCGGTTGTGATGTGTAGTCTCCCATGCTGTGGCGTAGGTCTTGGAGGTGCCACCTGACTCTGGGTGTGCTGAGGTACCTACTGTGCTTGAGCTGGGGTGGGGATCTGAAACTGAGCATGCCACCAGAGGAAAAAGGCCCTGCTGTACCCCAGTGTGAAGTGTGCCATTATGAAAAGTGCTATGCGAGACACAGTTCTTCATTGCTGTGTCCAGGTGCAGAACTTGAGAGAAAGAGTGGCTATTGTATTCCCAGTTTGCAGATGCATGCTTAAAGCTGACCACCACTATCTGAATAATGGCAGAAGGACAGAGGTGGCTTAAGAATGTCCTTGATAATGGTTTGAAAGTTTGATCTTCAGGAGTTATGTGGAAGATTTAAGATCTCTAGGAGTATGACGAGTGCTGGACACTGCTCTTGTTTAAATCATGAATACACTTTTAAGACAGGTTGTTAATGTTAATGAGCTCTGTGAAGGAAAACGAATATATATTTTTTAATAAACTCTTAAAGAAAGACCATTGTTCTACCTGAAATTGTAGACAGAAAAAAAAGTCAAACCCTCTACCCAACATAGTAATTGAATAAACGAATATACTATTATGGGATGAAGATTTTGTTGAGAAATTTCTTTAGCTTCGGAAGTGTTCCATGACCCCATTATTTGTGTATTCAGACAAATCCATTGACTTTTTTTTTTTTTTTTTTTTTTAGTCTTAAATTTTGATTGTAAGGTATGATTTAGAGTAAAGTGTGAGAAATGCACGAAGAAAAGTGTTAGCCAGGAGCAGGAAGTGCTTCATTGGATCATAATGGATTCAGGGTAAAGCTTGATTGCTTTGGTTTTTTTAGCGGTCAGAGGGTGCTGGGAGATTGTTTTCCAGTGAGGCTCACATGCACTGCTGACAATGTGAGAGCTCACCTTACTTAACAAAAAAGCAAGTTGTTTTTTCCCCTCAGCATTTTTAGACCTTTGTTCTGATTCCTTGATAGGAAACATTGATTTGCTTTAAAAATTTGGGAATGACATGCAGTTACTTTCTTTAATATGTGAAAAAAAATCTAGCCACATTAGGAAAATTCAGCAAATCACAGTGGTTATCCTTCATGGACTGAAGCTTGAGACATACCACCTTAACTAGTCATTTACTGTCTGTTTTCTATTTATTTAGCAACGTGTAATGACCTGCTTCAGAGCATGGGAAGATTGGGCAATCTATCCAGAACCATTTTTGATCAAACTTCAAAATATTTTCTTAGGACTTGTAAATATCATTGAAGAAAAGGAAACAGAGGTAGGTATTCTGTACTTCAAAATTGTTCAGAGGGAGGAGAGTATTATATATATATATCCTTGTGAAAAATACCTCTGGAGTCAAATGTTACAAATACCCAGGAGTCAATATTACATATGACATGGATTTTCATTGTAGTATTCTTATGTGATGGAGTGTTTTTTTATTTTTTTTTAAATAACTTGAAAAGATTTGTGATGTACAAGTAGAAAACAGATAATATACAGAAGCCCCTCACCTAACAAGAGGGTCTTCATGAACTTACTGTAAGTAAATCTCATTAAGTTGAAGATACATTGAATACTTGTACCCATATAACTGAACCTGAGAGCTCAGCCTAGTATAGCTTGAACATCTCCCAGAGCTTAAATTACACTATAGATAGGCAAAATGATCTAACAGGAAATGGTTTTAAAGAAAACATTGAGTATCTCATGTAACTTAGTGAAAAACTGGATTAAAAAATGATGGCAGCCAAGAGGTGATGGCAGATGCCTTTAATCCCAGCACTTGGGAGCTAGAGGCAAGCAGAACTCTTGAGTTTGAGTCCAGCTTGGTCTACAGGGTGAGTTCCAGGACAGCCAAGGTGAGAAACCCTGTCTTGGAAACAAAACAAAACAAAACAACAACAACAAAAAAGGGATGGCAGTGCAACACTGTAGCTGTTGTTGTCTATGTGATCAGATGCCACAACTAAGTGCCACTGCCCAGCATCATGAAGACATTATACTAAAAGAAAACACCAACATTTGAAGAATAGTTACCACTGAATTATATTGCTTGGCACGATTGCAAATGTTTAAAAAGTCTTATGTCATGAGTTGGTGATTCTCACTGTATAACAACTTTCATTTTGTTTAGCTTGCTAAAAAAGTAAACGTGCACTTGGAAGATACAGCATGGTGGTACCAAATTGTGTTCATCATCATTTCTTGCTTTTTTCCTCCTAAATAGTTTGTAAATCTTTCATCTTTGTTTCTGGTAATAATGCATGAATATTTTTGTTGGTGTATTGAGATCATTTATTTTTTAGTTATTATTGAGAAAGCTTTCCTAATTGTAATAATTCTAATTGTTTGTTGTTTATTCTGTTCAATTGTTTTTGAACTTCTCCCCTATTAAGATCAGGGCTTTGCTGGTTTATCAGACTAGACATGATGGATTCTTTCGTATCTTTTCTTTGTTTATCTAGTCCTCTTCTGGAATATTTTTCATTTCTGGCCCTTGGGATTGAGGTTTTCTTCCTCTTGTGTTATAATATTTAAATGTATTTTGCAGTGCTGACTTGGTACTTGTAAATGGTCTTGGTTTATGCTCATTTTGAAATGTTCTTATTTTTTCTGTTTTTTTTTTTTTTTTTTTTTTTTTTTTTTTTTTTTTTTTTTTTTTTTACTTATTTATTTTATGTGCATTGTTATTTTGCCTGCATGTTTGAGGGAGTTGGATCCCCTGGAACAGGAGTTATAGATAGTTGTGAGCTGCCATGTGGGTGCTGGGAATTGAACCCGGGTCCTCTGGAAGAGTAGTCAGTGCTCTTATCCACTGAGCCATCTCTCCAGCTCCAGCCCTTATTTCTCAGTTTTAAAAGACAAATTTGTTAGGTCTAGCACTCTTGGTTGGTACTTTCAGGGCTAGGTTTATATCATTCCATGTCATCCTGCTTTGGGGTCACCAGGAACATATTACTCTGATGTGTCTGCCTTTGTAGGTGAGTTGACATTTTTTCCTTACAGCTATTACTGCTGTTGCTTTGCTTTGTATTTTTGATTTCTTGACTATATATCTTCACAGAGAGGTTCTTAATCTGGCTGTATCTGTTGGGGTTTTAAGTAACATGGTTTTTTGGTGTTTTTTTTTTTAAATCTCTAGATTTTTTAAAATGTCTGCTCCTTTATTTTATGTAATCAATTAGTGCTTATCTCAATTTTTATGTCCTATGGATGATTTAGGTTTGGGCTCTTGGCCATATTCTAGAGTTCTTTGTGGTCATGATTATTTATTCATTTGTTTTCTTTATTGATATTTGAGTGCATTGTTTCATCCACCTTGTCTTCCATACTTTGTTCTGCTTGGTAGAGTCTTTTGGTGATTCTTCCTATTGTTATTTGCTTTAGATTTATTTTATTTGTATGAGTGTTTTGCCAGCATGTGTACATGTACACCACAGAGATCAGACAAAAGAGTTAGCTCCCCTGGAACTCAAAAGTCCTGATGTTGTCAGCCACCATGTTGGTGCTGGGAATTGAACCCAGGTCTTGCAATAACTATCTCCCCAGTCTGTCCCCCTTCCAAAACAGAACAAAACAACAACCCCTCTCCCCGTTTTTTTTTTTTTTTTTTTTTCCTCTCTTTAACTTTATAGTATGAGTAGGCATGCAGGCATCCTTGCCACAGCTCTCGAGAAGAGGCCAGCGTGACAATCTCTGCATTCTTTAATCTCTCTTACTCACCTTACGTCCAGGGATTCAACTCAGACTGGTAAGCCTATATGCAATGTCTTTCCTTGCCTTTCCTGGCCCACTACTGTAAATTAAACTTGATTCATTGAGGTTTTCATTTCTAGCATTCTAATAGTTTTATCCATATTGTTAATTTTCTTAACAGATTTCCTCTCTTGCTGACTCTCCTTTAGGGCCAGGTTTATATCATTCATCATTATTACAAGAAAAGTTTCATCTGTCTTTTAACCTACATCAGAATCTTTCAGTTCCCTAGTAGAGGACTTTGGAAGGTCCTTGATTTTCATCTTCTTGTGTTACTGTGTTGCAGCCTACACATCTAGAGGTTTGGCTATTCTTTTGGGCTTTTGTAGTAGGGATATCTTACTGAGTAGTCTATCTTTGAGGGCTCCATCTGGTACTCTTTGGTGAGGTTGAGGTAGATTGCTTTAGAAAGCCTGGGAACTGTACTTTGTGCAGCACACATTTGATTCTGTTCTTTCCCAGGATTTTTTCTCGCGTCCTTCCTTCATGAGTTTTTCTGACTCGCCAGTTGGCGAGGTGACAGCTGCTCCTCCGTGGTCTTCTCAGACTCTTGTTTCAGCTTCTGCAGTGCACAGTGTCCTTCTACTACTGGTCTTTGTACGTGTTCTTCTCTTTCTGGACCTTCTGCCTTACCAGATTTCAGGCTAAGTAACTTCAGGACACCTTCTGACTTCTTTAAGTAAAATTTAATTATTAAATAGTCTAGTGAGGTGGTGATACACCCTTTTAATTTATTGTTCTGACATATTTTCTTTTTAAACAACAAAAGTCTTTACTAAGCTCTTTGACAGAAGAACCAAGCTTAATTTTTTTCATCCTTGACTCACATGCTACCTGGCACCAGTAATAAGCACTTAGTGTATATTAGGTAAATAAATTTACAGGTGATTACTGCCTCAGCAGATTTGAAGATAAAGCATTTATTTACATTCTGTCTGGAAATAAGGATATCCAGTCATGTTGATTTTTACTGGATTTTAAGTTAATCTAATAGTGAGATACTTCAGCACGTTAAAGAAAATACTTCAGTAGTTCATATTTCTGTAGGATGTGCCAGATGATCTTGATGGTGCTCCCATTGAGGAAGAGCTTGATGGTGCACCTCTGGAAGATGTGGACGGAATTCCCATTGATGCTACTCCCATGGATGATCTTGATGGAGTCCCTATAAAAAGTCTTGATGATGATCTGGATGGAGTGCCTTGTAAGTTTCCATTTCAAACATTAACACTAACAAGTTTAATTGCCAAAATGATTGAATTTTTGCACGTGATGGTACGGAGAAGTGTTTTTATTTTTGACTGTGTCAAGTCACTCACCTTCTCTGGCATTTTAAAATTCAGGTTATCGGGTGGCTCAGTGGTTAAGAGCACTGTCTGCTCTTCCAAAGGACCTGGGTTCAATTCTCAGCACCGACATGGCAGCTCACAACTCTCTGTAGCTCCAGTTCCAAAGGATCTGACACCTTCACTCCAATGTACATAAAATAAAATTAAAAATAACAAAATTATTTAAAAAATTCAGGTTATCTAGCAGTGTGTTTGACTGTGGCAAAGGAAAGGGCTGGATTATGGTCATTTTTCTTTTTTGGGACTGTTACCCTCCTCTGTTACCAGGTTTTTCTTTTTGTCTCCGTTGTCTGAAACTTATAGGCATAATCTTGTGTTTGTTTTATAGTCATAATGTCAGATGTTCAGTATTATCTTGTTTGTTTTTCTACCCGCCTACATTAAAGTGCTTAAAAGTTTTTTAAAGTTGCATTAAAGTGTTTAATAAAGTATTAACTTTTTAATTTAGAAAACGATCAAGTATATATAGGTTTTATCTATTTGCTTATTTTTCTCAGTAGTTCTTCCATGCACATTTTTGGCTTTGTTGTTGCCACTGCCAACTTGGTCTGCAAATACCTGGAAAGTTCCAAAAAAAATCATAAGTTTTAGGTATCATAGTACATTTTAACGGTTTTTGTCTTTCATGATTGTTTTTATTACATTTTTACTGTGTCTAATTTATAAAAATTTATGTGGATAAAAAAGCAGGAAATGGTCATAGGCTCAGGTATTTGCTAGAGGTCTTGGGATATGTCCTTTGTGGGTAAAAGGGCTTACTTGTCTCAAGCAAAAAAGTGAGTAAATCATAATCCTTGTTCTTGATACTGTCAATGTTTTTCTACATATGGACTTATTTTTATTTGACTTTTGATAAGCACATTAGTTTTAGTCATCCTCTAAGTATATTTAATAGCTCATCCTTTCTTCAATAGTAGATGCAACTGAAGATTCAAAGAAGAATGAACCCATATTTAAAGTTGCCCCGTCAAAATGGGAGGCTGTAGATGAATCTGAATTGGAAGCACAAGGTGAGGAAATTGCAAATCCTGAGCTTGTAAATAGTTGTGTACTGGAGTAGTGGTGTCACGGAGTAGTATAGTACTTGCCTTGTGTGTGTAAAGCACTAGGTTGGATCCCCAACATTTGGAGATGGGGAAGAAAATTGAGTTCTTGTAATTACTGGTGTATTTGCCTGTGTGTGTTTTTCTTGTGTGTAAAACCTTTGTTTTCAGTCTTCAGATTCAATGGTACCATGTGTTAGGTCTATTGTAAGTATTCATTTATTGTTGGTGCTCCTGTAATAATTTTCTTTAATCCTACAGTTTGTAAGCTTTGAAAGTAATTAGAGAAATCACAGACGAAACAAAAAACACCAAAAATATTTTAGGCCAAGATGTTTCAATACAAAGTGTATGGGGGAAGCAGTATGCATTTGGAAATCCTCAGTTTCTTTGAATCTGAGCTTTGGCCCTCTTATAATGCTTGTTAGGTTAAGTTTATGCTTGCCTTTCTCTTGATACTTAGTTGGAGCCATATCTGTTAATATTTATTGGTCTGATAAAATAAATCTTTCCATTCGCCATAGAAATAAATGTGGTAGTTTTTAAAAAATCATTTCTGAATTTACATAGTTAGCAGTGTAGGTACAAGAAATGTATAACACATTCAGTTGGCTGTTGGAAGAACAGATAAGTTTAGATAAAATGTCCTGTACTAGAAAGTTTTAGTTCTAAAGCTGGGTGTATACTGTGTTGTAGCAAAAATGATGATTTACCTTATTGGAATTACATTCTCTTTTCCCTGTGCAGCGGTAACAACTTCTAAGTGGGAGTTATTTGACCAGCACGAAGAATCAGAAGAAGAAGAAAACCAAAAGTAAGACTCTTAAGTTTCAAACATAGCCATTTCCCTGCACATATATACTCCTTTACTATTTTAACCATCTGGTTAAAATAACAGTTCTTGTGAGAGAATCATCTTTAGTCTCCATCATTTTTTTCCCATTGAATAAAGAGCTTCAGTCTCTGGTCTTTGTACCAGGCCTCACCTTGCTGTGTTTTCTACCTGAGGCTATACAGTCTTGCTTTATAGCTACTATTTCATCAGTTGTATTTGTTGCAGATCTTTGTCATCAAATACTGTTTATACTGTTTTAGAACCACAGAAAGTGATTTTTAAAGTAGTAAGTAGAAGATTATACTCCTTTCCTTTTGGATAGTGCATTGCTCAGTACTGTTATTTTAAATGCAAATATGTCTGAGGAACTCAGAGCGTTTAAAGGGGAGATTTGTGAATATAAAGAAATATAATTTTGATAGTTTTCTCTTGTAATCATTAGAGGATTTTGCCTTTGACATTGGTGCTAAGATAAAATTTGTATTAAGTTTTAGGAAGCTTTATACTTTTTACAGTCATTGCTGTAAATATTGAGTTTCACGTAGGAAGAGTTGGTATCAAGAATAGTAGAAAGCTTTTGTTTTATAAAAAACTCTTACAAAGTCTTTTAGTCACAGATGGAAGAAGAAAAAAGGCAAAGTCCTTTTGTTGTCCTAGCACAGAATGCATTTGTGTGCATTCAGTAAAGCAGAGGGGTGGGTGGATTGCAAGGTGTGCTCAGTCAACAGATTGTAGAAATGATTTGATGTCCTGAGGAAACTGGCAGTACTGTCTGCAGAAACTTGGTGTGACTGGAGCAAGTTGGTAATGATGAGATACTTAGGAAGTAGAAGTGTGTCTTACCAGTGGAGACAGCTCTCTGAAACTTCAGAGTACTAGAATTGAATGATTCAGTTTAGTTTGCTTTAAAACTGGTTTTGTTGACTTTATTTTATGTTCCTGACCTTATAATTAGCAACATTTCAAAATGTTAGCATTAAAAGACATACTGGACTGATCAAAATTTTTTTAACTTACAGTGAAGAATGGGAAGTCTGTCAAAGAATTCCAGATATTTTGTTTGGTTCATTTTATTTCTGAAAACATTAGGGTTTTTAGCATAAAATTGATTTTTATGTTACTGTTTTTATGTTAGTGTATTTTAGTATTGATGCTGAAGTAATCATTGGTAGAAGCACAGGGTAGTAGAAGTAGAATTCATATTTTTAATTTTTCTTAGAACTCCAAGTAAATCATGTTAACAAAAGCATAGTTTTGTGGTCCTTGAGAATTTCTTACAGCTCACTGCTGCTCTCTAGCGGTTGGATGAGGGCTACCTTTTTACTTCAGGCTGTTTCATAAAACTTTCATATGCAGCAGAGATGAAATCTTAAGACTAGTACTTGCAATATTTGGAGCGAAATACTAAAAATAGTAGCATTTGTAACGAATTTGTAAAAATAGTTATTTGTAATGAATTTGGTATAGAATTAGAAATTTGAATTTCTATTTTTTACAAAATTAAAAATTCTATATTTCATAGCAGGAAGCTGTGTCTCAAAGGTTAAGAGCACTTTTTGCCCTTGAAGAGGATTTGGGTTTGATTTCTAGTACCTGCATTGAGGTTCAGACCTAATTCAGTTCCTTAACTGTTCCTTAACTCAGTTCCAGGGGTTCCACCATCCTCTTTTGATATCCGTGGGCAACAGGCATGTACATGGTACACATACATGCATACAGACAAAATACTCATACACATAAAGTAAGATAAATTAAAATTTTAAAAAAGTACAGACTCCATAAACATATGAATGAAGAGTCAGCTTTCAGGATCAGCTCTGTTATAATAGTTGAAGTTCTCTACTACTCAAGCTTTATATAGTGCTTTAGTATAATGTGCAGGTCAGGTGAGGGTCTTCTGTGTTGGAATGAAAAGCACACTGATAGCATTAACATGCAGAATTTATTAAAAGTGTGATTATGTTATTATATTGAAATTCAACTTTTTCTGTAGAGGAAATGTTTTTCAGAACTGTTTAAAAATATTGCCTGGCCAGATATTTGCAGAAAATGTTCTGTATGTTCTGCAATATCACATCCGTTTCAAGACAATGAAAAGCAATACCGAGATGTAAAGTCCATTTTGTTTCCCTTGCTGTGACATGCATTGTGTCCTTTGTTTCCAAAGTCAGGAAGAAGAAAGTGAAGATGAAGAAGACACTCAGAGTTCCAAATCAGAAGAACATCATTTGTATTCTAACCCAGTAAGAGAAGAAATGACTGAGTCCAAGTTCTCTAAGTACTCTGAAATGAGTGAAGAAAAACGAGCTAAGCTTCGTGAAATTGAGGTTTGTATTGCATTAAAATTAAAACTACTTCAGTGGCCTTTAGTTTTCAATACCAAATTGATACTCTCTTGGTTTGGTTCTTTATATATCCCATTTTTACTGCTTAGAAACCTCCATATGAGTTAATTCTCTGCCTCTTTGTTCAAGCTTCACGTTTTCTCAGTGCTAGTGTTGTCTTTTCTCTCTAGATTTGCTACCTGTTGTGTTTATCTCTGTATGATTTTACTTATCATGTGTGTATTTTGTTTGTTTGACTTATTTCCTTGTTTGTTGAACATCTATTTCCCACTAGGCTGATGTTTTTGTGAGGGGAAAAGGATATGGCTGTACTGTGTTTGAATGCGTGAAATATAGAAGAACTGAGGAAGTGGATGCTAAGGAATAGGATTGATCACGTAGGAAATCCATTCAATTTTGAATGCATACCATATAACTAAGAAAAATTAAAATTTTCTGGCGCATTCAAGTTGGTTTGTATTTTATTAATTACACTAATTAATTTGAAAGGTTTCGTGATAGGTTATAGAGAATATTGCCTGAGTCTTGTCTTAAGAGGAAAAAAAATAATAGGTGAGCAAGCCCAAACTATCTAGGGCAAACTTTTTACCTCTTCTTTTAGTCCTCCTTTTTTAATAGTGCTGTTTGTTTTGTATCTCAGGCTGATTGAACATATTGGAAAGAATTGTTTTGTATCTCAGGCTAATTGATCATGTTGGAAAGAAGCATTTTAGGAACTTTAAAAATGGTTTCTATTAGCATATATTAACTATATATAAGGGACTTTCATGACATTTTCATGCATAGATATAAGGTATTTTGATCATACTCAACCTTCAGTACCTTCTTTACCTCCCTTCAGTACCCCTTTACCTCCCATTGAGCCTCTTTCCATTTTCAGTCTTATACTTTATTGACTTTGTGTGTGTGTGTGTGTGTGTGTGCGCGTGCGCGCGTGCATATGTGGTTATGTGCATGATTAGGATTGATTTGGGATCTTGAGTGTTAAGAACTTATTTAATGGAAAATCTCTTCACATAGTGACCATTAACCGTTATAAATCCTCTGGAGGGACAAGATCTTATAAAGAGAAAAGTATTGAGTGCTCAGGCTGGTACACTTTGCCAGCCAATGCCCAGCAAAATAGCCAGTCAGTCTAGGACTTGAAAGAATGTGTGAGAGCCCTCAGTTCTGGACTGGTGATGTTGAGTGCCTGCTATGTCTTTCTGCATACTATATTAATGGTCTTTTTCACTACCTTTCTCCTGCTATCACCAAACTATGTAGAATCTACATGGTGCCAGTTTATAGGTAGAGATGAAGCTAGACTTGGTGACACACACCTACAATCCCAGCACTTGGGGAGGGAGAGGCAGATCGCTGTGAGTTCAAGCCCAGCCTGGTCTACAAATTGAGTTCAGGACACCCAAGGCTACATTTAGAGACCCTGTCTCAAACAACAACAACAAAGTAGAAATGAGAGTCTTTCAGTTAGTAATTTAATTCATTTCCTTTTAGAGCACACCGATGTTCTCTTGACAGTTTTAGGCTGGAATAGGGTTTTGTGTAATAGTGAACACACTCACTTGGACTTTTTTTCATTCTGTTTATGCCCATTTGTAAACCACTAATCCCTCTGTCTTCCTGAGAAGCTCTTCCTAATTTAATGAAGCTACTAAGAGTAGAAACAAGGCATACATAATGGCACATGCTTTTAACCTCAGATCCTTGGGAAACTGGGACAGGAAGATTATAAGTTCAAGACGACCTAAAGCGTTCACGAACAGTCTGGGCAACTTAGCCAGAGGGTCTCAAATTAAAAAGAGAGTTGCTGTGTGTGTGTGTGTGCGCGTGTGCGTGTACGCATACGAGCATGTCCATTCCTGGGGATGTGGTTCTCTGCTAGAGTAGTTGTTTTAGCATGCAAAAGACTCATGACTCAGTCCTTAAGGCTGGGGAGTAGGCTATAGAAATAAAGACTACATTTAGTAAAATTATATTTTCTCGATAATTGGAGTTGTAATGTCAGTATGGGGCTGGGGAGATGGCTCAGTGTGGGGAGGTGCCACGAAGCCTGATGGCCTGGGTTTGATGGCCATAACACACATGGTGGGGGGGCAGAACCTAATTTGACCTCCACATGAATTTCTGTGGCACGAGTTTGTACATGAGGGAGTTCACAGACATGCGTACACACACAAATAAATTTTAAAAAGGTCCATATAGACTGCCTAATTCTTCTAAAATGTTCTGTCTCCTTATTAGTATGAGAAGAAAATCACATAATGTAGCTTTTAGTTGTTAGCTGAGTTTTATGAGTGTTACCATTTCCAAGTTTATATGTGTTGTGTGTGTGTGTGTGTTATATTGTGTGTGCACACGTACCCTGTGTGTGCACTGTATATGATCTTCTTTAGTCTACTCATTATCTCTCCAGCTCTCATCATACCTATCACATAAATTGGAAGATAAACCAGATTTTAAGTTTAAAGTGCAGGCTTGAACTTCATTTTGGCATTACCTAAATCTTTGTTACTCTGAGACATTTAAGTCATAGAACAAAGTTTCATAGCTGGTAGCAGATTTGAATTACAACTCAAGGCTCACAAATTTTATTTCACGCTTTCTTACCTTGTTTCTCTGCCTCTTTATTTGAGTATCAGTTTTTTGTTTTAAAATCTAGTGGCTTTATTAGAAAATGTTTAAGAGTACAGTTCTAAATTAGTTTCTCTAGGTAGTCTTATTATATACTATATTTTATACCATAGTTTTTCTTCTTGAAAGCTATTCCTTTCCCATATGTATCCTAATAAAAGTGCCTAAACTGATGTATTTGTTTCATAATAATAATATTCTGTACAAAAACACTTTAAAACCTGTAGCCATGTATTTTGCTGATTAGATGCCACTTAGAGTGGCAACTAGGCTAGTGCTATCTTTTTCTGGTTCTGCCAACAAAGGATGGGGAGCAGAAGGCTAGGAGCCAAGTAGAACGCCTTTGGTTGTGGTGGTGGTGGTTGTGATGGTGGTGGTGGTGATGGTGAGCCTTTTCTGCCTGTTACTAATGAAAGACTGCTGAAGTGAGAATGTGATGTCTGTTTGTTGTCCCAAGACAGCAGGAAGACTGTTAAGCTTTGCTGGACTCTTTTCTTTTGTGCTGAGAAGTGTGCTCACTCTTTTTATGGGTATCCTATGTTTGAGCCCTAGTTAGACCTTATTATCAGAAACTTCTAAGGTGGTGTTTTATAATGATTTAAAAAAAATCTTTTCAGCCATATGTGATGCAGATGCCTGTAATCCTTGCACCTGAGAGATGGACACCAGGAATTAAACAAGTTTGATTCTGGCTTGGCCACATAAGGAAACTATCACAAAATGAAAACGACTAGGAGATAGTGCAGTTTGTAAAGTGCTTTCCATGCAAATTTGGAGACCCGAGAGATTCCTAGAAGCCATGTAAATATCTGGGTTTGGTGCTGTGCACCTGATGTGGCAGCACTGGAGAGGATGAAACAAGATGCTAGGTTCCCTGGTCGGCCAGCCAGTCGTCATTGCTGAGCCCCAGATTCAAGTGAGGGACTATCCCAAAACACCCAGGTTGCTAGCAAGCCTAAGGAACAATGAAGTTGACCTCAAGCCTACATACATACACAATTACAAAAAGATTCTCTCCTCTAACATTCATTTTTTTTTAATTTTTTATTAATTACACTTTGTTCATTTTGTATCTCCCATAAGCCCCTCCTTCCTCCCCTCCCGATCCCACCCTCCCTCCCCTTTCTGCATGCATGCCACTCCCCAAGTCCACTGATAGGGGAGGTCCTCCTCTCCTTCTTTCTGATCTTAGTCTATCAGTTCTCATCAAAAGTGGCTGCATTGTCCTCTGCTGTGGCCTGGTAAGGCTGCTCCCCCCTCAGGGGAGGTGATCAACGAGCAGGCCAATCAGATTATGTCAGAGGCAGTCCCTCTTCCCATTACTATGTAGCCCACTTGGACACTGAACTGCCATGGGCTACATCTGTGCAGAGGTTCTAGGTTATCTCCACGAATAGTCCTTGGTTGGAGTATGAGTCTCTGGGAAGTTCCCTGTGTTCAAATTATCTTGTTCTGTTGCTCTCCTTGTGAAGTTCCCATCCCCTCCAGCTCTTACTATTTCCCACTTCTTACATAAAATTCCATTCACTCTGTCCATCAGTTGGCCATCAGGCTCAGCATCTGCTTTGACAGTCTATACTGCAGAGGCTTTCAGAGGCCCTCTGTGGCAGGTTCCAAGGTTGTTTCCTACTTTCTTTTTCTTCTGATGTCCATCCTCTTTGCCTTTCAGGATGGGGATTGAGCATTTTAGTTAGGGTCCTCTCTTTTGCTTAGTTTGTTTAGATGTACAGATTTTAGTGGGTTTATTCTATGTTGTATGTTTATATGAGTGAGTGTATACCATGCCTGTCTTTTTGCTTCTGGGACAACTCACTCAGGATGATCCTTTCCAGGTTCCACCATTTACCTGCAAATTTCATGATTTCCTTATTTTTCATTGCTGAGTAATACTCCATTGTATAGATGTACCACAGTTTCTGCATCCATTCTTCAGTTGAGGGGCATCTGGGCTGTTTCCAGCTTCTGGCTATTACAAATAAAGCTGCTACAAACATGGTTGAGCAAATGTCCTTATTGTGTACTTGAGCCTCTTTTGGGTATATGCCTAGGAGTGGTATGGCTGGATCTTGAGGAAGCACTATTCCTAGTCGTCTGAGAAAGCGCCAGATTGATTTCCAGAGTGGTTGTACAAGTTTACATTCCCACCAGCAGTGGAGAAGGGTTCCCCTTTCTCCACAACCTCTCCAGCATGTATTGTCACTTGAGTTTTTCATCTTGGCCATTCTGATGGGTGTAAGGTGAAATCTCAGGGTTGTTTTGATTTGCATTTCCCTAATGGCTAATGAGGTTGAGCATTTCTTTAAGTGCTTCTCTGCCATTCGATATTCCTCTATAGAGAATTCTCTGTTTAGCTCTGTTCCCCATTTTTTAAGTGGATTACTTGGTTTGCTGCTTTTCAGCTTGTTTAGTTCTTTATATATACTGGATATGAGTCCTCTGTCAGATAAAGGGTTGGTGAAGATTCTTTCCCAATCTGTAGGCAGTCACTTTGTTTTGATGATGGTGTCCTTTGCTTTACAGAAGCTTTTCAGTTTCATGAGGTTCCATTTATTGATTGTTGCTCTTAGAGCCTGTGCTGTTGGTGTTCTGTTCAGGAAGTTTTCTCCTGTACCAATGAGTTCTAGGGTATTCCCCACTTTTTTTTCTAGCCGATTTAATGTGTCTGGTTTTATGTTGAGGTCTTTGATCCACTTGGACGTCAGTTTTGTGCAGGGTGATAAGTATGGATCTATTCATTTTTCTACATGTAGACATCCTGTTGGACCAGCACCATTTGTTGAAGATGCTATCTTTTTTCCATTGTATGGTTTTGGCGTCTTTGTCAAAGATCAGGAGTCCATAAGTGTGTGGGTTTATTTCTGGGTCTTCTGTTCGATTCCATTGATCCACCATTCTGTTTCTATGCCAGTACCATGCAGTTTTTATAACTGTTGCTCTATAGTACAGCTTGAGATCAGGGATGGAGATACCTCCAGAAGATCTTTTATTGTAGAGGATTGTTTTAGCAATTCTCAGTTTCTTGTTATTCCATACGAAGTTGAGAATTTTTCTTTCCAGATCTGTAAAGAATTGTGTTGGCATTTGCTGTTTAACTCATACTTAGTTTTTAGACCAGTTTATCAATGTTATATTCTAAACAACAGAATTTGGTTCTAGGAGGTTTCATATAGTGGTGAACTATATGAACAAAGTTTCATAGCTGGTATTTGCATTGTCCTGCCTTTTCCCTCAACTTTAGCTTCTTTAACTTCTATCTTTTAAAATGTATAATTCATTAAAACATGAAAAGTGCAAAGACTGAAGGGCTTTGAAAGAAAAGATAGAGCACTAAGTCTCTGGTTTATAGAACACTGCTGTGGAAAAGACTTAGGAAAAGGACAAAAATCGAAGAACTTAGAAGATACAGTCATGAATTTAAACACTGTGAAAATGCTTTTTTGATTTGTGGGGCAGGAGAGGATTATAATCTTTCTCCACTGTTCAGGGTTCATTTCCTAAATGCTTTAGTAGTAGACAGCCTTTTTAAATGGCATATTAATAAAAAGTAGAGTGGGATGTTAGCCCGTTGAGATATTCTTGCCATCTCTTAAGTAAAACCAACTTGTGATATCCATTTGCTTTTCTTCTCATCACTTTTCTTTCCTTGATTGAAGAGTACTGTCATCTTTTGAGATTTTATGGACATTTAAACTGGAGGCCTCCAGGTAGTTTTTATTTTAATTTTGTAATGTCTCGTGTGTGTGTGTGTGTGTGTGTGTGTGTGTGTGTGTTTGTGTGTTTGTGTGTGTAGAATGGTGTTGCGAGAGAGGAGAAAGCAGGTGCCTGTGTGTGGAACTCAGAGGACAGCTAGTTTTTTCATCCCTTGCTGAGGCAGGGTCTTATTATTTCTGTCATACTGTATACTCCAGGGTTAATTTACCAACAGACTTCCCAGTGATTCTCCTGTCAGCCTCATAGAACTAGGAGTATAGGTACAGGTCACCTCATTCAGCTTTTTAAACATGGATTCTGGGATTGAACTCAGGTTGTCAGGTTTACATGACAAATATTTTCTGAGCTATCCTTCCAACCCCAGTTGTCTTACTTTAAAATATATCATGAATTTATTTTCTTTTGAAAAGTTCTAAAATTGCATTTATTGTTGTGATACATGCGCATATCACAGCAGTCAAATGGAAGTGAAAACAACTTGTAATTCCTTCCTTCCGCCATTTGGGTTTCTGGGATTGAACAGGCCATCAGGCTTGGCAGGCATCTTTATTCACTAAGCCATCTCACTCGCCCATATTTGTGTGTTTAGTGGTCTTTATAGAATTGTAAAAAAAAATTTTAGTCAGACATGGTGATGTATACCCAGGAGGCCAACGCAAGAGGGTCACAAGTTTGAGTCCTCTAGGATACATTGCAAGGCCTTGTCTCCAGGAGTAGAAAGTCATCAAAATATTTAAATCTCCGGAATAAAATGTGAAATTTTACCTTTTCTTGTATTTTCTTTCTCTGTTACTGACTTAGCAAGAATAGGCTTTTGTTTTGTTTTGTTTTTAAAGGGGGATGTATGTGTGAATCTGACTTTTGTTTATGATTAGCCCAACATCTTAGGATGAATATATATGCTCTTCTAGTATGATATAGCAAATATTCATCATATGAATAGCTTAGGTTTTTTCAAAGTGATACATTTTGAGAACGGGAACAAGAATTTCTCATCTTTTAAGTCAGTATTTACGCTTACTGTCTTAAAGGTACATTCTGAATATGGCTTAACTCTGTGCTTTGGTGGCCAGTGGTTATGGTGTGCTGTAAACGGAGTGGAGCCTTCGTAAGCAACTGTGTTCTGTTCTAAGGAGCTGTGCCTAGAGTACCAACCATTGTTTTTGTCGCTGCTTTTAACCTATTTTCTTTTTATGTGCTGCTGACTCTTTAATCTTGTTCCTTGTGTTCTTGCCTGTACTCACCTTTTCCTTCTGATTTGGGGAACTAGACACCAAATTTATTGTTACTGTTAAGTGAACACTGTGTTCTTAAGGATGTGAAGCAGTCTATGGTTTTAGTTCTTTCCTGGCTGTCTGAGAACATGTGTGTGGAAGATGGCCTGAATTTTATGTGGTAGGCTTGTCTAACAGATTTTATATTGAGGTTATATTTTGACTGAGTCCTAATAAGTCAGTGCTTTACTATAGGAGAAAAGCAATGCTTGAGAAATTGTGATAGAAAATTCTTATTTAAAATGTCTTATTTCACAGTTAAAAGTTATGAAGTTTCAAGATGAATTGGAATCTGGAAAGAGACCTAAAAAACCGGGCCAAAGCTTCCAGGAACAAGTAGAACACTACAGAGATAAACTGCTACAGCGAGTAAGGAATAAATCTATTCAGTAATATGCATTTCCAAAGTTACTTATTTAGCTTTGCAGACTCTTAGGATAATGGCATACTAAAGGGAAGTGTATTGCAAATGATAGCCCTTGATGTATAACAATTGGATAACAATTAAGAATATTTTATTCTGGATACTACTCATGTACTAGACAATTAATCTTGTTAAGAACATGCTTTCAGAACTGGAAAACCCTATGGGAAGACATATTGATGATAGTAAGAAACCATTAATGTTAGGAAGTGATACAGATGAAGATGGAGGCGAGGTTTGGGAAGTACTGCTGTTGGGAGGTTCATTTCTAAGAAGCTGTAGTAGTAGGTGGAATTCCTACCTCATCAGGGAGTGCTGGGCTGCGTACAGTGAATCAAGGCCCCACTTGGTGACTATTGAAATGCCCAGAACTTTCGTTGGAAGTGCTGTACTATTCTGTGCCTTGGCCTTCATTACAGTGATACTAAAGTATCAAACAAGAAGAAGGCATGCCCAGGAGCTTACAGGTATAGAATTGGTGGCAGGGAGTAGTAAAGGGACTGGGTAGCTGCCCAGACGTGTGGACTCCTATATCATGCTCTGTTGAGTACACAAGGGTTTTCTGTATAGATAATGGCCAGTATTGTTATTTCTGCTCTTTGGTGTTAAGTCAGAATCTTTAAGACAGTTTAACAGTAGTATAGTTTCTATAAAATATGTAGTTGATCAAGAAGTAATTTCTATCATTCAGAAAAATGTATACTACATGTTATTAAGGGAAGTTAGATTCCTTTGTACCTCTTTAGATGTATATTCTGTGATGTAATTGGAAAAAGGTAAATGAGGTTATTTGTAAAATGGTGCTAGTTGTCTGTATCCTTGAATCCTTTTAGCAATGGTATCAGGTGATTAGTCTGCATAGAAGATTACATGTTAAGATGTTCCCTGCCTCCCAGTGCCAACAAACTAAAGATAGATAACATGTTGGTCACTAGTTTAGTCTCTATATGTTAACCAGAGACAAGATTTTGTTTTTGGAAGACACGTGCTGAAGGTCTTTGTAAATAAAGTTTATTAGAAAACAACTGTGCCTCTTCAAGTAGGTATTGTCTATTTTTCTTGTTGCAGTGGTACATTTCAGCAGCAGTTGTTAAAAAATAGTATATATGACCCATAAGACACTGGTTTTGGTCTGGCTTCCTAAAAAGTTTTCCAGTGTCTTGTTACAAGTTTTTTTTTTTCACTTTTAAAAAATGAAAAGCAGTTAAATCAACATTTTTGACACATGCCAATCATAAATAACTGGTTCAGTATCTTTAGCAACTACTTTAATTATCATATCATTAATAGAAATTAGATATTTATTGGGAAGTGCCAGATAGAGCAACTAGAGATATTAGCAGTGATTTTTCTGTTTATATAATTACGTCATGTAATCGGTTTATAGGTTAGGATTACATTTACCTTTGAAATTACTTACAGAGTCTTTGGTAAGAACTCTATTAGGTGAGCCTGCTGGATACAGGCAAAATTGCTTTCTTCAGTTTGATGGGAAGGTTGGTATGTGGCTTGCTAGCTTCTTCTGATTTGTTTCTTCCCTACTCTACCCCATCTTCCTCCCTACCTCCCTCTCTGCCCCATTTTGATGTGGTAGTGAAGGGACAGGAGCTCTTAGACTGAGTTACTGACAACTGGTGTGATCATGGTCATATTTCTGAGTCTAGTTTCCCATATCTAGATTGAGAGTATAGTGTTACAAAGGGTCATGTGGTGACACGGTGTGCAAAGTTGTTACTGTACTGCTGGGACTATGTGAGCACTCAGTCACTATTTAGCTCCTGTGCAGAGATGAGGGTGAGGGTGATGGTGAGGGGGATTTAGTGTATAAGAACGATTAGTTGCCTGAAAGGGTAGATTTTTTTTTTTTTTTAAATTTATACCCTAATTAGTATTTTAAAAATTCCTAAAAGAAAATATGGTTAAATAAATGGGATAGCCTAGATTGACTACTTTTTTAAGCAACTAAATATTTTCTTTTGAAAAAACAAAACAGGAGAAGGAGAAAGAATTAGAAAGAGAACGAGAAAGAGACAAAAAAGATAAAGAAAAATTGGAATCTCGATCCAAAGACAAGAAGGAAAAAGATGAATGTACTCCAACGAGAAAAGAAAGGTATGGCATGTCATAGTTAATCCATCACCAGGAGCAACGAGCCAGAAGAAGTCGTTTTCACAATAAACATGTGTGGCTTCTGCCTGTAGGAGGCAAAGTTAGCTGAGAGGGGCAGATAGATGGCCCTTGGCTAAACTAATTAGGACGTCCTTTTCCTTGGTTCATGTGGTATTCTTAGCCTTAATTCTCTACAGGAATTCAGTTACACTATTGGGTATCAACCCCACGGCTTAAATAACGGCTTGTTTTATCTGCCTGTTGCCACCACTGTAAGCATTTTTTTTTTCTTCCCATCTTGAGAGCAGATTCTGCATTGAAGAGGCAGTGACTGGTGCATCATGTTTTTTGTTTCAGCTTTTCTCTTTTGAGTTTTTATTATTGTTAACTTTTAATTTGTTTAGTTTGTGTGTGTGGTGTGGGGCTGTATACCTGCCACTGGTGGAGGTCAGAGGACAACTTGTGGAGGTTGGGTCTCTCCTTCTGCCATGTAGGTCCCAAAGGACCAGACTCAGATTAAGTGCTCTCATTTACTGAGCCATCTCACTAGACTGTGCTGCTTTTATAGTTTTAAATGCCTAATGTAGTGAAGCAGTTGCTTCAGTTAACAGAATCAGTTTTCCACATTAAAGAAAGTGGTTATAAATTAGAAACCTGGGTTTAATCACTCTGCATATATTTAAATGATAAAATTATACCGATTGTTTAACAAAAAAAATGCCATTCTTTTGTCTTTTATATTTTGATATAATTTCAGTTTCACAGGCAAGTTACAAGAATAGTATAAATAATCCCTGTGTACCTTTCACCTATATGCTCCATTACTAAAATGCTTCTACTTCTTTTAGTTCTTCCCATTCCTCTTCACCTCCAACCAGCTAATTATAACTGGCCAGTACAGTGCCATTCTCTGTGTTGTGTTCATTTAACATCAGTAAAAGAACCACAATAAGAAATTAATATTGAAAAAAATAGATCTTAGCCAGGCATGGTGGCACATGCCTTTAATCCCAGCACTCAGGGAAGCAGAGACAGGAGGGATCTCTGTGGGTTTGAGGTCAATCTGTCTACATGAGTCAAAGGACTGTTTTGAAAAAAAAAAAGGAAAAAAAAATGAATCTTTAATGTTATTTAATTCAGGAAAGTCAGGTTTTCTTCATCTTCCCAGTACTCTTACAGCAAAAGAAAATCGAATTTAGTTGGATTCACTTGTTTTTGGACAAGCTGTCTAAAGACTTACTTGTTCATGAAATAAAGGACATTGAATGTTGTTGGGAAATAGCAGCAGTACAGCTGGCTAGTGAGAGTTAATTACTGTAGTGGATGCTAGAAGGTGTTAGTAACTAAGTTAGTAAAAATTGAAAATGAATGCCTAAGTCTTTTTCACTGATGGAGTGTTCATGTGCTTTGTTTTGTAGGAAGAGACGACATAGTACCTCTCCCAGCCCATCTCGAAGTAGCAGTGGTAGACGAGTGAAATCCCCATCACCAAAATCAGAGCGGTCGGAACGGTCAGAAAGGTCTCATAAAGAAAGCTCACGATCTAGGTCCTCCCACAAAGACTCTCCTAGAGATGCTAGTAAAAAAGCCAAAAGGTAAGTGCAAGTTAGATAGCAGCTAACTAGTTCTACAAGCTTCAAAAATAATGTTGTTGGCAGTTTTGTTTTGTTTTGATTTTTCAAGACTGGGTTTCTTGGTGTAGCCCTGGCTTTCCTGTAACTCACTATTGATCATGCTGCCCTTGAACTCAGAGATCCGCTTGTCTCTGACTTCTGAGTGCGGGAATTAAAGGCGTGCACCACCAATTGCCTGGCCTTTTTTTTTTTTTTTTAAAGATCTCAGAAAAACAGAAATAGTACTCTTATTTTAGGTTATCTCTCTCTTGGTCTCTTGGTCTTACCCCAGTTTCTCTACTGATCACTCATGAATAGTAAGTGCAAAATAAATCCATGTGTGTATACATAGTAAAGAATAAATTTGAGCTTGCTGCTTTATTTAGTTAGTGGCTTATGTTCCCTCTTAAGGCTCATTTTAAGCCATATTAGAATGTAAGCAGTTTTGGTAGCCAGTTACTTAGACATTGTTCGTGTTTGTTTGTTTCTTCAGGTCACCGTCTGGTTCAAGGACACCGAAAAGGTCTAGGCGGTCTCGGTCTAGGTCCCCTAAGAAATCAGGGAAGAAATCCAGATCCCAGTCGCGGTCTCCACACAGGTCTCATAAAAAGTCAAAGAAAAACAAACACTGACATATATTTTTAAGATGCTGTCACTTAATGGAAATGCAAGTTTGTTTTGTGCCTGAATGGTCTTTTTTTTTTTTAAATAAAAAAAAAAAAAAAACCACACACACATACACACACACACACATACACACAAACAAAAAAATTCTAACGAAAGAGCATTCCTGGGTTTTGTTTGTTCGTTTGTTTGTTTGTGAATGCATGTGTAAACTCATGAGTAACTGCATCTGTAGACCTGTCATTGTTTTATATTGTATAAATTACTTTTGTTGTGGCTGTTTCTCAAGATGAAATTTTTATTGTGCTAATGAATTTCATCAGAAATGTGTACAATGGATCTGCTGGCAGTAGTAGTATTTTGTTTTAGGATGTTGTGACTTAGACACATAATACAGATGTCTTCCCCCCCCCCCCCCTTTTGTAGCTTTGACAGTTTGAATTAGATTTCAAATAAAATCTGAACAGAAAACTATAATGTTGTTTTTTTGCCCAGTTGGTGACACCAAGTCCCTTAAAGACCTACTAAGTGAATTTGGCATCATTGCTGTTTCTTATACCTAGTGCACTTTACAAGCTCCAGTGTTTATCCATTTCTGTAAGGCAGTTTTCAGGACCCCAGAGAGCAGAAGGCTTAAGTAGTGGGTCTCATGTGGTGTTTGTTATTGTAATGCCCGGTAAAATAGTTTTTTCAAAGAGGCAACATGATTTCAAAACACTCAACCTGTCTTCTGAGCAATTACGTATTTTAGGGTAAACTTAATTTTTAATCTATCATGAAGCAAGTTTATTTATAAAAGGTTTTATAAAAAAGATTTGCCATAGAATTCTTTTGTATAATAGTTGCCTTTTTATAATTGTCTGTAGGTTATCTTTAAAACACTGGTATCATGATATTTGTACAAATTTGTTTGAAACAACTTTTATGTTTTGAAAGATTTGGTTTGAAGTATAGCTTTAAATAAAAATTGAAAAGTTAAATGGGTTTTGGGCAATTTTAACACCCAGTGAGCGGTTTATAAATTCAAGGTGCAAAAAGTTGACTTAAACCATTTGCAGAGATGAATTCTGTTATAAACAGGAACGAACTTGGTTATAGTTTGAGGGAGAAATAGGAAAACTTGTGAATGTTGGTCAAAGTACCGCAGAGAATAAAATTTAATAAAGGGTTACATAGACTTGAACTGACACCGTTGTTGTCAATCTTGCTTTCAGTTTTTCATTTAGGTACTTCGTGTAGTGGTTTGTGGTTTTTTCTCTCTAAAAATAGATTGTTTGGATTTAACTTATTTTTTAAAATCTGTCACCTGTTTACTTAATCTTGCCCAATCGCAAAATAAGGCATCCTGCACCTGTGATTTGGGGAGTAGTCATATCAGCTGTACAGCAAGGCATGTCTTTTCTGTATCCAACACATCCACAGCAGCTTTAGAAATGAGCCAGCCATATTGCTTGACATAGTGGTTATTAGCATGAAAATACTGTTCAGTCCATTGTTTACCCATTTATTAGGAAATGTTAATTCCTTAAAGTTGCTCAAAATAATTAATGTGAAGGTGCTCATACTTAAAGATCTATATAAATACAGCCATTATAAAAGGAACACATTTCTCTCCCGTGTTCATTGTCTGGGAGGCATTTTATATCATCTTTATTTTCAGAAAAATAGTGTGGAATTGCTGGTAGTTGTGGTATTCTTCATTCCCTGGGTCTTTGGATAGGCAAAGAAATAATTGGTCAGAAAGTGATTTTCTTTTTTTTTTTTTTTTCAGGCAAGTTAGGGAGGATAGTTACTTTTCTCTCTTGAGTACAAAACCTCAGTTTGGTTTTTGGTGTTTTTTTGTAGTGTTTTCTACTGCAATGGATCTATATTGTAACTATTATAGCTAAGCTTGGAATGGATAGAACTGGCTTTCATTTGGGTAGGTGGGAAATTACTTAGACCTGATAGACTATTTTCTGGAGTTCTTTAATCTATATTTTAGGTTATGTTGAAGTTTGTTTTTTTGAATTGTATATAGCATTAACTAGGTCATCTTCCATTTTTCTTTATGAGGAAATACCTAGAATAAGATGTTAAAATTTACAATGAATAAAGTGGCACACATCGGTTATCCCAGTATTGAGGATTGATGACTGTAATCTGAGGAGTTGAGACCAGTTTGGGCAATAGAGTGAGATCCTTTCTCAAAAACTGATTCCCTGTAAGTTTAATGGGATAAAAAAACTGGTGAGTTTCTTACAAGAAGGAAGCTGTTCTGCATATTTTTTTTAAGTAATAGCTTAGTTTTCATATCTAAAGAATACGTAGCATAATTTCTGTAGTTGACTTAAAGTATTCATAATTGATCTGAGAGTTACAGGAAAGATGTTTCCAGCTGTGTACTGCACAATTGTTGTTCCCTATTAATTGTATGTAATATCCCTACAAAGTTTGTAACACAGGGATTCCTTGCCAAGGCGATGCCATTTGACTTCTCTTTACGTTCAGATAGAAAATAATATGCTGGTTGATTTCTTACCAAAGAGAGACCTATGGCTAAAAAGGATTGTGATGGCAGTTTTCTTTGGCATTGTATCTCTGTATTGCTGTGAGTCAGCATGTGGGGTTTCTGACTGTAGTGAGTTAGAGATTAGGGAGACAGAAAGCCCTGATCCCAAAGGATCCTTTTATTTGGTTCACAATATTTTTGGCTCTTTTGCTAAATTTTGCAGAAATTGCTGTTTGCTGACCTAATTTTCTTTATTGCAGACCGTTCCTATGGGCTTAACCTGAGAATTGTATTCCAATTAAAGAGTGTTGGAAGGAATACCTCCTTCTGACCTATGTATTTTTCCATTCTTTAATGTTCTTGAGTACTTGAAAAAAAATACCTTTTGTTCATGATCAAGTTTAGGTTTATTAGAAATATCCTATACACTTTTGCATTGATGGTGGTATAAGTTCTGAAAAATTGCGTGACCACGATAATTGTTTATCATGGTTAAAAATAAGGCAAATAAACCTGTTGCCAAAGTGACTTAACCTATTCTGATGACCACAACAGTGTGATTTCTTTAGCAGGGAAAATTGTTCTTAAAAGTAAACCACCACTTATCTAAAATAATGTGTTTTAAGCTTTTCATGTGTTGTTTCCCTCTTCTGACTTGTAGTTGATAAGCCTAACTACACAAAATTCAGTGCAGATATTTATGAAGATGTAAGTTTAAAGGGTCTTGTGATTAAGAATTCACTCTAACAAAATGTTTGGTGTTTTCACACTTCACTTCCATGTTTTGAAATAGATTTTGGGGAGTGTTTATTATTTTGGATTTTTCTTGTTTTTGTTACCAACTTCCTAAGATTTAGCCAATCCATGAATACAAATCCCAGGGAAGTGTAATGATAGACTGAGAGGTGGGATGTGCTGCTCTTCAAAGTGAGCCTTGTTTCATTGTTCAGATTTCGATGCCTGTTTATTCAGTGCCACCTCATGAAGTTCTAATGTAAATGGATTGTGTGTATAACTGGCGATTTGTATAGTTTTGTAGATAAAAGGTCTTCATTCGCTTTCATATGTAATTGTGCTTAGAGGATCAGTGTTTTGTCCTTCTAACTTCAGCAGGCTCTTGTATGTTGTGTTTCTGTTGATCTGAAATAGCAGAAGAAACAGGTTTTTAGAAATGGAATAACAGTTCAGTCGGCTCAGCTGACGTGCCCTGCTGTGGGACAGACGCCATGGAAGGCTAGTGGGGCCGCTTTCCAGACGAGACACGTACCATATAGTTTTCTACGTAAAGATTAGTCGCAAAACAAAGCTTGTGGAATTCACTTTTGTTGTTTTCTTTTAATTACTTAAATAAAACACGTTTTCATAGTAAATTTAGACTGTTCATGTAATTTTCTGCATATGGTTTTCTAATGGGAGCCCTGCAGGATAATCTGGCTTTCTGCAGCTTTCTCCCATGCAGAGTTGTGATGCGAGGAGATGCATCTACCTGTTGTAGTGACAGAGCTACTACATTTTATGCACTTAAACTCTCACCAGGTAGTTTCATGATAGTTGATTCCCTATTAATTAGGAAATTTCATGCCCTTACTCTCTTCATTAAGAAAGTTCTATTTCACTGAGGAAAACTTCAGATTCCAGCATACAGCAGCAGCCATCCAGCCACCAACATGTAAATAGCAGCTCGTTAGTGTATCTGTTTTGTATTTAAAACATAACATTGCATCATCACTAAAACCTCACTGGTTCCTTTTTAAGGTTTTGTTTATTTTTAGTTGTGATAAAATGCTCTTGACAAAATTTACCATCTTAAGCATTTTTAACTGTACAGTTTGCTGGTATTAGATATACTCACATTGTTTTGCAAACAACCTATATAACTCTTTCATTGCAAAATTGAAACTCTGTACCTGAGTTTTCCCCTCCCCTCTGCCATATTCCCTTCCCTCTTATAGCCATATTTTGCTTTGTTGCTGTTTGACTAATCTAGAAAGTGAAATATGAAACACCATTTAATTAAAATTCTTTACCATTTGTACAACTCGGTGTGCTCTGTGGTCTCTTTAATGGTTGTTACGGTGTAATTTCACACCAGCACATCATAGCCTGGCATACTAAAAGGCACTTAGGAAGCAAACTGATTTTGAAACTGCAGTGGATTAATATTGATGACCACGCTCGGATGCTTTTCTGGTTTATGTAGTGCCTTGTGGAAAGGAATGGGAGTTTTTAGTACTTGCTAAGCTTAGTGCCAGCTTTGATACTCACTTTGCTACAAGAAAAAGGGGAAAGGTAAATTGTTTATTTTGTTTTTCAATGTTTTCTCCTGTCTTAGGAAACAGTGTTTTCAAATCGTTTGAGAATGAAACACCTCCCTGAGCAGACACCTCACTGCACATAGCAGCTGAATATTCCCATACGAGAAGTGGTAGTGGTTCTTTTGTTTGTTTGTTGCAGCATACTTTACAGCAGTGTGCAGTAGCTACTGGGATGAGTGGTCTGTTTCGGGGGTTAGGAAGCGGCTTTTCATCAAGTTTGTTGTTCTAACATTCCAATAAAGACTGGTGGTGTTTTCACAGGCCACTCCCAGGGTGTAGTGAGGCATCTGGTATCTACTGAGATACCAGAAAGTGTTTTATTAATAAGGAGGTAGTAGCTTTTTCTATTTGCCATAGTATTTAGCTAACATGAATGTAAGCTAAAAAAATGGCGTGCATGTGTAGCTTATGTTATACAGGATGCATATTCAGAGAATGTGGTTTCTCCAGAAAGATCTGCAGCATACCCAGCACTGCCAATTCTGTATGTATAAATGCCACAAGGCAGAGATACCACTCATCGAATACTTCCCAAGAAGCATTTACATCTGTGTCTAAAAATAGTGGTTTAATTCTGAACTGATTGCCCTGAAAGTACGTAATTTGACTTAAATAGCAGGTATGTTACAGAAGGTCTTTAAGTGGGAATGATCATTTTACTTGTTTGTTCTCATGATTGACATAAAAACTTGTTAAAGCTTCCAGAATATTTGCATATTTTGGAATAAAAGCTAGTGGAACCTTTATTTTGTGAATGTTAAATCATAAAGCCAGAATTAACAATGTGTAGAGAATGGGAGAAAGTCTGGTGTTAAGAATTGTGCTGCCTACTCTGTACTTCACATCTGTTCTTAAGTGTCAGAACTCAGCTGTCTACAGTGGCCATCTCTAAAATATCCTTGGTTTATAATCATGGCACAGGCACTGACAGTGTCCTATTCAGCTCAGAGTGCAGATGACTTCCGGTGCCAGACTCCACAGTGGAATTCAGAGTCCTTAATGACACAGATTGCCGGTTTTCCAGGAACCTTCTACCTCCTTAAAGAACTCAGATGGTAAGAAAGCCTGCGATCTAATTTGATGTCTGATGCCTGTTGTCAGTTTATATTGTGTCTTTGCATAACATCCGCTAGGAAATTGTGGGTCCTTGATAGCCTTGCAGAAGCTCCTGTGATTGTTTATGGTTTTTCACCATTGAGATGAAAGGTGTACCTGTGGAAGATGTGTCCTGCACCCTCCCCTCCCCCATCCCCGCCTTCTCAGATTCCCTCGTGCAGCTTAGCTCTTTGCGGTGTGTTGAAACAAACTGAAAATGACAAAGTGCCTGGTCTTGGCTAGGACTATGTGTCCCTTAACTGCTGAATGTATACAGATCCTTTGA